ACCACATTCACAGAAGTTTTTAGGTTTTCAATTTCCATATATATACACACACAGACACACACGTGTTATGCTGCAAGTTTGGATTGCATGTTTCCCTGTTAGACTCCTCGCAATAGTAATTGTGCAATACAGATAATACTTCCATGTAAGTAGCAGTTTGATGCTTATTTTTAGCTTCACTACTCAACACAGACCCTTTTTCTGATTTACAGAAAATCTTTAAAATCACATAGAACTAGTGAGCTTGCAGCCACTTCTGTGACTTGGTCACAGGCAATGGTGTTCGTATTTTTTTGTATTTTTTCTTTAGGAGAGAGTGAATGAAGGCAGAAAATGTTAAAGATTCATAAAAAAATAAGTAACAGTTGGTGGGCTGTAGACTAGGGCTGAACATAAATATCACCACTTAATTTAAATGAAGCTATTACATAATATAATCCACAACCTAGCTGTCATATAAAGCTTCTAGTCCTAGTCACTTAAAAAAAGATCTTGCTATTCCCAGAGCCCTTTCCTAGCTTGCCAGATCATTCAGTCCTTTGCAGCAGTGCTCCATGTTCAGTATGTCCAGTGATTTACAACCATTTCAAACTATTCACTAACAATTCTGAAGCTTTTAAGTCACACACAAATGTGTGATTTTGGGCATACTTAGGGAATCTTGGGACATTCAACTCACAGTTATTAATCTCACCAACACTTTAGCAGTAACAGAATAAAAGGAAATTATTAAAACCTAAAACCTTTATCTACTTCCTATCCCCAATGGCATTAAGGATGTTTAAAATGATGAATTAAAATGCAAAAACATGTGAAACAATGGGCTGACAATGTTGGAATCAAAATGCTTAAAGCCTTATCCACCTTATAACTTCCTTAGCTGAGGTAATACCAAGGGAAAGAACTAGTGGCATTTTTCTGGAAAATATTTCTCGCTATAAATATATTTTTAAAGGAAGACCATTTTGCTGTCTTCTCTAGTAATTCCTTTACAAGATGCATAAAACTAACCTCTCAACAAGACCTCTTCCCCCATGTTTTTCCCTTGTTTATACATATTGTATATACATTTGCCTTCTTCCTCTCCTTGAAGCCACAGGGTTGTTTTCTAAAACTGGAAACAATTTTGTTGTTGTTGTTGTTCCTGCCTTAGCAGTGAGTTCACACACGTACAAACAAACTTTTGCCAGGCTAAACAGAAGTTAATAAACTTGCTTAAGGTTTTGTGACTAACCAATGCTTATTTTACCTATGTGCAGAAGAGTAACTAAATATAGAGTGACCAAGTCCTCTAGGTCAGTCATCGTGCTGGAATCATCACAATAAAAAAAAAATCAGAAAAAAATATATTTTTCCAAGTTTTTCCAACACCATGGGATTTTTTTATTGGTAGCTCTCCTTAGAAAAGAAGCTGCTGGAAGACACCTGTGGTGGTTTGGTCTGCTCTGCATCTCAGATGAAGTGCTGGCACCTACCAGTACTTCTCACTGCCCTGCTCAACTTGATTCAAACAGTGTATATGGAGTTTTAAAATGGTCCTGGCCACTTACCACTGATTTTAATTTCATTCTTTGCCCTTCACACCACAACCACTGAGCTCTTAACAGCACACAGGCCTGAGACATGAGGCCCAGCCAGCCCGATTTTACAACGTTACACTAGAAATCAAGTTTGCAGCCATAGCTGTTTGCTTTAAAACATCAGCTACTTTTCAGCCTTTTGAAAAGCTTTGTTTATTTAAACATCATAAACTGGTGGGATAAATCCTTTCACTCAATCACAGTGCAACAAATGAATATCACTATTATTAAACACGATCCACATTTTTTAAGACACAAATGGAACTGAGTAACGTGAACCATTTATATGGTTTCACTAGAACAAAAAGACACATTTACATCCAGTTTCGCTGTATTRTATTTCACATATTCAATCTAAGATGCCTCAAAATTGCACATTTTCAAGCATTCCTAATTTACAAATGGTCCTAAACCTGGATAAATTTGCTGCTTAATTTACAAAGTAGAAAGCAGCTGACATCTCAGTTGAGATTTAAAATGCTACTGTGAAGTCAGAAATAAAAAYCTATATTTTATTATATTTTATTCCGTCATCAGAAGTGATAGAATAAGGTCTCAGTTATAAAATTGATTCAGTCATTGAGTAATGTGCCTTTCTCTGAGCGTTCTGCTAAGTTTTCAGCTCATTCCCCTCTTACCTTCTCATTCCTTTTGCAGCTATTGTGTTCTTGCCATTTTTATAGAGACTACAAATTAATATTTAAAAATAAGGCTGCTCTTCCCAAACATGAAAATGCTCTCCACAGGGGCGGCCATAGATTTATCTCATATTTAGCCAAACTTAAAAGCCTTACAATGACTGCACTATAGGCAAGAGCAGGGAAGCAGAAATAGAAAAGTGCAGATAATCTGACAAAATGCCTTCCCATCTTCTCCTGGTTACAACGGTGAAGTGGCTCCTGGTAAGACATAAAATGATATTGTTATTGGACCATGAATTGGTCTATTTTTTTTTCTKTTACTGTTTAATAACTTTTCTTATTATTTGAAAACATACATAGTCATTATAATCATAAACAAGGTGATAGCCTGAACGTCTACACAAGGAAGTACTCAAATCCCTTTGTTTTGCACTGAGCTCAACATGTGCTTTTGATTCAGAATTCAATACAAGCGTTTTGAAGAACTGAGTAAGGCACCATGACCCAACTTCTACTCAATGGGTCATTTTGACCTAGTAGTGCAGGAAACAGCATGACTCAGTGAAGAGCACATTAGATATCGTTTTGGACATAGGTTGGTAGGGCCATTTTGATTTTATGTGTATAAACATTTACAGCCTTACTAACAAATAGCAAAAGCACACATGGAGYGGTCACCTTAGAGTAAAAGCATTTGTCATAGTAAGGGAAGACAACTTCATTGTAGAAAAGGCTTCAAAGTTTCAATTTAAAAAGACAGGCATAAGTCTGAATACTTTTTAAAGTTAGTTATTTAACAATCCTAAAAAATATGGTTCTCATCCACGAGGCAAATGCAATGTGAGTTGCTGTCATTTGAGCTCTTTGCTTTGCTCAGTGAACCATGTTCACACCCAACTAAAGCAAACTGAATTTTCCCCACAACCTTTTAAGCAATAATTTGCCTTCAACCCCAAAATCATAAAATATAAAATATAAAATATAATATTCTTGGTCTACATATATCTATAAATATATAAACGCATATATGCTTATGTCTTTTATATCTTGATTTTGCCTTAATACTTGGTTTTCTTTGGAGTAAAAGGAAGTGTTTTCTAGGAAGCACCAGCACCAACTTCTCCCATGCCCTTTCCATGAGGAAGCACTCCCCACTCCCACGCTGATTTGGCATTTGATTCAAACTGGCTCCATGTGGAAGCAGCTCAGCTGTCTGCACTTYATGTTCCAGAAATTACAAGCACTTGCAGAAATGCACAAGGCGGCACCCGAGATGACTCAATAAAGAGAATTAAGAGTTCAGCTGTTCAGTCAGTTTATTAAAATTTGTGTAGTGCATGGACAAATTGCCTCCAGGGCTGCACTTGATGTGCTCTGGCCCCAACAAGGAGGATAAAAGTTAGGGGCTTTGTGGCAGCCAGAAATAATTGTCATTTATCAAGAAGTAAACTCTCCCTCAGAGAAAAAGAAAATAAAAAAAAAAGGATCAGGGTTAACTCATATAATTCTTCCCAGACTGTCCCATTGTTGTGTTCAGCTCTGAACTTCTACAGAAAGGATAGAGTTAAAAAGTCATCTCAGTACCACAATGCAATGACACAGTATCTCATACCGAAACTGAGTTCAGGACTGAGTCAAACTGTGTCAGAAGTAGCTTCTTACAGATACTACACTCATCTTTTGTCAGAAATTACCTATTTTCTAAACTAGGTCAGATCATTGACACGCTCAGTGGAAAGTCTGACAGGGATGAGAGGTAAATAATTAAACGCAAACTGTTTGAACTGAGAGAGATTAAAGACAAAAAATAGGTTATTTCCTAAACCACCAATAATGACAGCTATTCAAGATTCACTCTTTAAAAGTCTTTTTTACCTCCCAAACAGCTACATTACAATTAACGTGAAAGTAGTTTATAAATAAAAAAGAATAAAACTTCTCACATTCTCTTTGTGAACCAACATTTTTTACCRTACTAAATTATCAATTTAAAAACAGTTCCATGGTTATAGCACAAAATGTATAATGAGGAAAAATACGGATGCACTTACTTCCTTAGGACAATTCCTGTACTTTTCTTTTTTTCCCCCCTCCCTTTCCTTTGCACAGAGGAAGCTATTGTAGCTGAGCACACAACAGCTCTTTCATAACAGAGCAGGTTACCAGCACGCACACAAGCCGCGTCAAGAACAGGGGCTCCATACCAGGTCTGCAGCCCGGGCCTTTGAGGGCCCCGTTACCTTTACATGCCGTGGATCAAAGAGCACAGCCAGCTGGTCAGCTTCCACACTACATGAGCCACTGCCAGCCTGCATGCCCATATGCACGATTGATCAAAAAAGCCTGTTTATATATATATATATATATATTTATATATATATATATACACACGCACATATCTGCCTCAGCAGTGTCAGATGTTTCGGTTTTAGCAACGTTCTCTTCGTTTATAACTATTTCAAGATTCATGTTTTAACAATATTTTTAGGGGTGCAATAGACATCCCTATGTGCTATACAATGCTTCTCTTGCTTTACTTTAAGATTTAAAGGATAATAGCATTCAACTGACACTTTTTACATGGGTTTCAATTTCTTTTTCTAGTTTTATAAGATTTACCGTCACGGAAAACAACAGATAAGGGTTATATAGAGTTTTCATATAAGAGGTCTAGGCATTGGTATTTAATCAACAGAAAGATGCAAGTCAATGCACAACAGCAAATTTTAAGCTTAAAATACCAGATTAACATTTATATTAAAAATAATTCACCAAGAGATAATACAGTCTAGTGTTTATTGTATGTTATGGAAGGTACACTTGAATTTCAAAATTTAAAACATATAAAAAGTGGTTAAGGGTTAATTTATCAACATGTGATAAATGTGTAAGAATGTTTATTATACAGCAGGGTACAATGGTAGTGTTAATGCCAACAGGGCACCACAGAAGTTAGTTTAAAAAAAATTTCCACTATGCTTTATACAAACAACACCACTTGCTGTTGTTTAAGAACATTGGAGGAGGATTGCCATCTGAGGGAGTCCTATAACATTTTTCATGTTAGATAGTGTCATAGTATATAGTTCGGTGAATATCTCAAATAAAAGTAGAAATGCTGTAATTACTTCACAGAAATGCACATCCAATATTTGTTTTCAATAAGAACAATAGGTACAAGATTATAACTCTCCCTATATGAAATAATTTACACACAGATGAAACCTACACTATCTAAAATAATCACTAAATACATTTTCTTCTTCTCGGAAATAAACAAGCAATTATTGTTTTGCATGATCAATATCAAAAAACATATAGCAGAAGTAGTATTTTTTTAAACATAACTGATGCCAAAAAAGAAAAAAGAGAAAAGTCTTCATGAATGTGCAACCTAAAAATCAACCAAGCTTATATTGTAGTACAACCATATTAAGAAACCACTGATCAGAAATACAACTTTATGGAAAAAGTTTATAATCCACAAAACTGTTCATCAGGCCATAAAGTAAAATAGCTCCACAGTTTACAGATAAAACTGAGGCCACATGGACGCGTGCTATGTCTTATCTCCAGTAAGTAGATACTTAGGCAGAGGACGTGACACTTTGTTTGTAGACAGCATGGTATGCATTTCTCAGCAAGACATAAGGGAAACAAGACTCCAAGAGATCCATTGTCAGGAATGGAGACTCCTGCACAATCTGAAAAATACAGGAAACACAAAGTTTTGCAAAATATCTTCCAGATGCTGCTAATAACCTGTTTCATGTAGATACCTCTGCTCCGCACTGCAAGGGCACCCTTGCTTTTTTATAGCAAAAATAAATACTACAAAGTTTAAATGTTGGGGAAAAATGTGTTTTTATAAGCACATTGCTTCTCAAAAYGTGTTCCCAAAAGACGCACAAAATTAAATGGAAAACATCAGAGAAAAAAAAAAAAAAAACACCACACACAACAACAACAAAAACACTTTTCCCCACGTACACTCCAAACAGCAGTTCTTTAAAATTTTCTTTTGATAATGTACATACTAAATGAGCAATGAAAGTGATCTGACTCTTGTAAGACCATGGTCTAGGCAGCAAAATGGGTGTCTGTGCCTGTGCTGGGGAGAGAGAGGTGCCAAAACATGGATGTCAGTCTTGCTGCCATTCAAATGTCACTGAGAGTGATATCTAGAACAGCTCCCCTTGCAGACAAGTTACACCAAAGAGGACTCCAAAAACCTTTGCTGAATAATGTCATGCGAAGCCAATGCCCAACGTTTCATTTCTATTAACAAGACAAGAGCTTACCATGTCTAGTAGCAAGTAAACAGATTCTCTGTTCCTTGTAGTAGTTTTGTCAGTCTCCTGGCCAATCTTCAGCAGACTAGACGATGCAAGCTAGAGAGAAGCAGTATTTCAAAGCAGTAAATAACATATTGATCAACTTTTRCTACCTTGTGTGTGTGTGCACATGTGCCTTCTACCTTTCTGCAGGTGCTACAGTCCAGCCAACAGGACTGCACGGCACCAGCAATTACAAAGAAAAGAACTTAGCCCTGAGCACACTGGCCATCACTGGCTCTTCCTCTCAGCAAGTCATTCCTGTGTATCCCGAGCAGTGGGACTTGCTTCACAAGCAGTGTGCTGGATCTTCCCACAAAGAACCATTCACTTATCTCACACAACTTCTTGAACTCCCATGGGCTCAAGACCTCACTTTCTCTGTCCTTTCCCATATGCACAAAAGAGCATCACATTTTTATAAGATGAAAAAGTAATCGATTCTTTTATTGCTTGAAGTTACACCTCCTTTTTTCCCCCCAGTGGAAGGAAAACCAGCTAAATTTTACTGCTAAAACTGTACCTTTACTTGAGGAAATGCCACTTTAATAGGTAATGAATAAATGATGTGCTAGACCCTGAGCAACCCAAATTTATCAGTTTTAAAAGATTTTATAGTCTTGAAGCTTACACAGGTACTTAGCTCTTCACAAGATCAGGATGTTAAAACACTTTATTTGCAGACAAGCATTTTTTTCATGAAAAGCTGACACTTTTGCCTTTTGTTTTCCTTCAAATATTGTGTAATTAGCAGTCACTTTGAAAATTCAATCACTGCTTAAGCAGCACAAACTATATTTAAAGGTCACTGCCACCACCTAAGAGCACTTTATTTTCTAGGCATCACTCAGGATTTCAGAAGCTGTAACCTTCAGCCTACTCTAGAATATGAAAACTCCCCAAATATTAAGTAACATTTAACTATGAAACAATATTACAATTAAAACAAATTGATGTTAATCAATATGCATCTCTACCAACTTCATCTTTATAGTGTGACTTGCTGACATATGACCTTTGCTGATTGCTGCAGTATAGATGAGCCTTGCAGCCACAAAAACATTGACCTGTTATTGGCAGCACTGTACAACTTAGCACTGTGCCTCAGGTAGACTAAGGGGATTTACACCATGCAAATTCCTCTCTTTAGGAGCAGAGATTAGACTATACGTACAGCCAAAAATTCTTTAAGACGGTCTTCAATGCTTCCCTTGTGGATGGTGAACAAAGCTGCAGCAATCTGGTTGATAGCTTTTGCCAAGCAGTGTATGTTGTTGCAGTGCCCTAAACACAAACACATAAACATCACTTCAGCAACGGGTTTGCAAGTGAAAACATTACTGCAACCCAACAGATTTGTCACAATCAAAGAAGAATATTTAACATTTTTCCCAGAAGCAAGAAAAAAATTGTTCTCGGAGTCACAAAAGTCATCAGAAGTACAAAAAAGCCATAATAGTCGTAATAGCCTGGCAAAGACCCTTGTGGCTTCTAGATAAGGAAAAGGATTTACTGCAGGTTTATCTGGTTCTACAGAGTCTGACATGTAGAAACAGGATTTTCCTTAYGCTAATTAGCTGTTTTTCCTCGCTTTCTCCGTAAAYAAACAAGCCATCAGGACCAGAYGGTATTCACCCAGGAGAGCCCCAGCAACTCAAAAACAAAACTGGTRAATTGCTAGTTGTAGCACAGAGCAGCTTGCTTACAATTCACCCAGGCTCCAGAGGGCTGTAGGGTGGTTAAATGATACCAGTTTTCAAMGAGAGTGATGGCTGAAAGCTAAGAATGGTGCATCAGGAAGCCTGACAGCTCTTACAGGTAAAACAGGTGAGGTTACTGCTTAAAAGGAAGAGAAAAAAAACAAAAAAACAGATATCTGTACAAATATGACATTACAGAAAGGTGCCAACACATTCAGTGGAAAAGCTCTTTGAAAGAGTTGACATKCATGCAAGTAAGGGACATTTCTGACACGCTATTCTCACTGCACACTTTGGTGGAGGTAGAAGGGGTTGATCATTGCTGATTTCGTCATTTGTTTGATTTCGTCATTTRTTACACCAAAATCATACTTGAATAATGAGCTCAGCTGAGACCCCAACATTTCATATGAGAAATGATCCACCTCCTCCATGCGCAACACCAAAAATGAGTATTATGTCATTTTATTGCCCAATTTATTCAGTCTCATATCYTTCTGCAGTTCTTCACTTCTCTCTAGTACTTTTAATTACTTCACATTCATATTTTCCCACTTCATTCTCTACTCCTGTTCCAGGTTGCCTGGGAAAATGCTGGACAGTGGGTGCCAGCAAAAAACCCTTGTTTCTCCAGCACCGAGCTCTGTTCCCGTTCTGAGCAAGGGCTGATACCCCCTCTTGCTGTYCCCTACATTTCAATTCAAAATTACTTCATGAATATGCTTGTGGAAAAAAGAGAACAGCCACTTTCCCTGAACATGCAGCCAGGAATATCTGCTCCATACTGCTGATTAAAAATAGTGTAGCTTAGAAAACATGAAAATAAACTGTATCAAGTAAAGAAATGCCAAAGATGAATGTTCTTTTATCTAAGCCATGGGACACATGACAAAGGAAATAGACTCAATGGCTGAAAGGCAACTTTTGTATGTGTTGGAACAGTTTTGTCAGTCATACTTGCTCAACTTAAATTTTGTCTGAAAGAGAGCTCAGTATTCTGTGGATTACATGAAAAGAATTTCCTTGAGGCAAAGATTTAGCTTTTTCTTTTCTTTTTTTCCTTTTTAAAGCATAAAGTTGAACTATTCCTCCTTAGGATATAACAGCTCATACCTTCCAGATTCTATTCTTAAAATGGTATTTTCTTAGTAATCTGAACAGCACGCTCATACAAAAAAATTATCTTATGAGCRTCACAATGCTAATGTAACCATTACTAAAACAAATATACTAATTATACAGAAGTCTTGTACTAATTAATGTAGAATAATTCTCTACCTATTCCACATATTAGTCCAAGATTGCCCCCTACAGTATTTGAACTACTTTGGTTCTTAAAATCTCCCCTTTTCATTAAAAAAAGCATCTGAAAACMAGACCTAAGTAAATGCTTTTCAAATTCTGAAGTTTATTTCTAGCKTCTGGCTAGTCAATTTGACATTTTTTCACTACAAGATGTAAGCAAATGTTTAAAGCAAATGTAGTTAAAAATATGCAAAATACACAAGAAATACAAAGAAAAGATTCACAGCAGATAACAACATTACCTTCAATGGCAGGGCTGTACTGAGACATCACATTACTGGCCAAAGTTGGCAAAGAGACTGCTACAAAGACCATGAGGAGGCAAGCAATTTTATACTCTTCTTCTGGACTAATGTTTTCTGAAAATAAAAACACAATCCTTTAGCTCAGAAATCATCTTAAAATGCTTACTTTCAACTGCAGACAGTGTATGAACTATCTCATCAAATGGAAGAAAAAAAAAATGTTTGCATTGTGAAAGGAACCATATTATMTCAGTCTTGCCATAGTAAGATTCACAGGATAGGGTAAAGTTTCAAAACATCCAGTTTCTTATCCACAGAATGAAGGTGCTGTCATCCTATTACTTTTAACTCACTCTATCATTAAACTTTTAGCTAACAGTTGAGAAGCTAACAGTTTTTTCATGCTGGTGTAAAYCCAGTCACCACTGTCAAGTGAGCAAAGCTCACTCGAAAGTACCATATTTCAGGCTGCAAAGGAGGAATGAACCAAAATACAAGACCCTAACCTATCACAAAAATCATTTTATACTACTCAAGGGAAGCCTGATACTTTTATGTTTTAACATTAAAATACTTACTGAAATTAGCTGTTTTCCTTTTCCAAAACAGCTATTGTTAGAGGGAGAAAAATACCTATGTTGCAACTAGAAACACTTGGACTGACTGAAATACTAAACATCCTATATACACAGAAACACAAAAAAAAAACCCAAAATAAACAAGCAATGAAGCGTTCAATAATGAAGATAGGGAACAAAATTAAAAAGAAATGTCAAGTACTTAAGAATCTCTATTGATGCCTTCAAAACTACCAGCGTAAACAAAGCTGAAAAGTTTATACAGGAATTTTCCACAGAAAACAAGAAAAAGCACTAGAAAAAATGTTAGAACATTAATCTGTTTATTTTACCATGTTTTCCCCTGTAAGCTTCATGTTAACATTTGTTCAACACATCACTACCACAGGGTTAAACTACGAGCACGACCTACAATTAATTGGCATTTTCAGTTTTTGCAGCCTACGTGCATGACACAGATTTATTCCAGACCTGTACAACAGAATTTATCATCTTAGTGGTTGCTCTCAACAGCCCCACTTTCCATGTCCTTAAATTACTGCAGTTTTCACCACAGGCCATTAAACACATTAAACATCTACCCATTATCCTTCTTCAGGTCAACAAGCTAATGTGTGGTTCAAAACATTCTCAGTTAACAAATCAGCATCATTGAGACAGGAGACACACCAAGTATTTGTGCTCGCAGGTCATTTACAAAGCTGCCTAGGAACACAAAGGAGATGAGATTCCCAAAAYCCCGCCTATCCACAAACACTTTCATGTTTTGGGGCATTTTAAAGATTCAAGGAAGCAAAAAAGTATTTTCTAAATTTGTAACTTCGTACCTGATTTTTGGGAAGACAGTGCTACAACCAAGGCAGGATCAATCTCACAAGGCAATCCTGCAGCTGATGACAATTCATATACATTCATTGCCACCTGAGGACCAGAAGTAAGGTAATTATGAGGAGGACACCATTAAATGCTTTTGTACAAGCATTATACTATAGCACAGATACACTATAATTTGAGGCACAAAGGAATTTCAGAGATTTAGCAGAATAAAAGAGCCTTTAGATTTTCCTTGTTTCTAAACTACAGTGAGCAGTTAAGACAGTACTTTTTGAGCTAGCTAGTTATCATTTCTGTTTATCAGGCCAAACAAAACTTGTATGATTTTCTCAACTACCTCCCAAGCAAACACATGGAATTTCTGGATAATCTTTTGAAGAGTAAAGAGTAGAAACAAAAACAAAAGCAAAAAAACCACCCAAACTGGCAGACGTGCTGTCAGATGAAACATGTCAGCTAATATCTACAAGTATAACATGTTTTGACAAGCAAAAGACAAAAGTTGCAATTTGACAAGAAAATAAACAAAATTATAATCTCACCGTAACATTCAAATTTGATACACATTAACAGTAGCCAGAGATGCCAAGTACTAAAAATAAGATTTTAAGCAGGCTACTCTATTTGGAGGAGAACACACGATCTGTTCTCCTAATGCTACAGATAACCAGCTAACAAGAAATCTCCATTTTACCAGGGTCTCTCAAAAGTTTCAGGCCTAGTAAAGCATCTTTTTACAACAAATATTTATCTCATGAACAGCTTTAAAGCCATTTCTGCTTCGCTTTGATAAATTAATTACATAGAAAAATCACTGATATTAAATCCTAAAATATCTGGATGTCCTAATCTATTGTATAAAGCTTTGCAAAGATCTGCTGACATGCCTTCATTTAAGAAGAAAATACGAAGTCATTGTCAATGACTTTTAGGGGACAATTCATTGTCCCCCAAGATGACACTGTTGCCTGTAATCACAGCCCCTTCAAGGGGCTTATCATGTCCCAAGGCCACATGATAAACCAACAAGGGGTTCCTGGATGCAAACACATCCTTTTTCAGAAGCAAGGCAGTGTATTCATGCTCCTATTTCCTCCCCTGCCCCAAACACTTTGGAGGCTAGGACTGTGTCAGTCTCAAGGCCAAAAAGTCTTGTTTTTATTATACACACACATTTCCAGCCATGTTATTTTAGTTTACCAGCTCAAACTATGAAGCACTGAAGTATCTCACTATTCCTCCCTTCATTRTTTATCCATGTTTTAACACTTTATAGATATGGTTCACAGAAGTTCTCAAATGTGATCATAGGCAGGTAGAGACCTCTTTTCATCCTACCAGCTTTCTTCCAGAACTTCAGTAACCTCACAGAAACACAATTATTTAGCTCCTAAACAACAAKGGTTGTTCACACTAAGCATGACAGTCTTGCCCCTTACACACTGTTAACAGAATTCAAAGAAAGATTCCATTACCCTTCGGACCAAACATTACCTTCATATCAGTCTCTCTTGGAATGTGATCCTTAAAGTCTTCAATTGAACTTACAAGGAAAGGAATGTGATAGGATAAAACCTAATGGAGACAAATATGAAATCAGAAAAACAAAATTTTGATTTTATTGTTCAGTTAGATACTAAGATTATTTTACTGGATTTCTGTATTTTTCATAAACTATCTTACACATATTTATTTACTGATTTAAGATCCAAAAGCTTAATAAGCTCAAAACTGAGCTATTGGTAAATGATGTGAAAGTTTTATAAATGTATTAAACATTGAAAAATCAGGCTTCAATAAAAACCTATAGGTTCTAACATAAAACTTTGCTGAAAAGTACCCCCAAAATGCTATTTCTTTTTCCAGGACTCATAATTCAAAGTTCAGTTATAAGTGACTTCCCATGTCACCCAGGTACCATGCCTTTAAGAGGCACCAGTTCTCAACAGCAGAGCTTCAAATACCTTATTACTGCATTAAATGCATAGGAAATGCCTGAATCATTTAAAATATATTCAGTGATTTCTTACATCTCTAAGTGCTTCCTGTGCCAATGATCGAAATGACAAGATCACACCAATAATCGTCATTCTCTTCAAAACACTGTCAACAGCTGAAGAAAAATTAGAAGAAAAACARTGAACAAGAACTCGTTGACATTTTCAATTCCTCCCTGCCCCAAAAAATGGGAACAAAAACAAAATATTGAAAAACATGTGGTACTCAAACAAAAGCATTCTTTTAAGAGCAGTTATCTGCAAACAAACATGTGATGAAGCAGGTTTTCCTGTGTGAGCTGATGGTAACATTTTCAGAAGACACATCTATAAATGTGTATAAAATGGGGAAATGATCCCTGCGGTAAACAGTTAATATTCAGTGTGAACCCTAGTTCTGCCTTTTCTCAAGTTTGAAATATCTCATTTTAACAATTATTTTAAATAAATAATTTAATAACTAAGTTGTAAAAAACCTTACAAAGAACTTATAATTTATATGCTGTGAGAAATCCAAACAGAAACATGTCACTTAGGAAAAGCAAACAATTTAAGTGAAACAAAACTCCGCTTTCTGTTTTACAGCCATATATTCACCCAGTTAGCAGTTACTACAGCCATTACAAGTCTTGAATAGGATTTTTAAGTTACCCACATGATAATCTTTTGAAGAGAGCTGCCATCTGGTCTGGTTTGTCGAAGCTGGTCCTCATTTGTGTTAGAACTTCAACGTTCTCCACCACAAGTTTCTGAAGAGAAGCAAGGCTTTGGGTCAGCAATGGTTCCCAACTCAGTAGCAAGACAAGGACACGGCTTAGGACATTTTAGTCCGGCAGAGAGGAAACTAAACTCAAAGGGACAGGGATATTCCCAATGGTATCTCAACAGGCCTACAATATTGCTGTCAGGTCCCACCATACATGAAAGAAAGCTCTAAACCCCAGAGAAGACGATGAGATACCCCTAAGAACATGATTTTTATATTCAGAAAAATGTACCACTTCTTAAAATGAAGGAATTAAATTTGGCAAAATCAGACAATGCATTTTATATTTTTATTTAAAAAAAAGACTAAAGGAATATCTACACAAAGATGTATCTATAGCATTTAGCRTCAAAAAGCAATGAAATCCTTTGGGGGCATTTTATAGATTTCACTAATGTAACCATTGAAGAGTTGAATGAAGAGTTTGAGAGCCAGACTGTTAACCTGCTACGTAGTTTACCTGAGATCTTCTTTTACCACAACATGAAGGAGGGGTGGGGAGGAAAGACATCCACTCAACCACAAAGTTGAGGYCAAAACTGTTACTAAATTCCCAAGCTCAACATTTTCCATATCAGTTTGACAAAAATTAAGAGACAAATGGGTACTTTCTCAAACTTATGACAGTTCTCATTTAATGCTACAAGTGAAGTATATGTAGTAACTTTCCTGTAACTATTTGCCAAGTCTTTATTGAGATTTAAGTTACCGAAATTGCATAGCTATAAACTGTCAGACCCAGAAAGGATTATGTCACTAACTGTTGTGCCAAGCACAGTTACTGAACAGCACGAAACAAAAGGAGCATTGAGGTGAGGCAATGAAAAACAACCATTCAGACAGGCAGACAATAAGCTAGAACCGAAATCAAGATGGACTATATATAACCACAGAAAGGGAAGCACCAGCAGAACTGCTGGCAATCCAGGGACATATGAGAAAGAGAGTTCTGCTAATGGCTTTGCAAWCTTTATTTCACTTGATTCCAGTGCTGAAAACAGGGCAAAACAAGTAGGGAAATCCAATTAGAGCAGAAATTCCCATTTCCATAGGATGGGGTGGGGGATCGGGGGGAAAAATAAAAAATAATTTAAAGAAAAAGGCCAACAAAACCCAAGACAGCTTAAACCATAACACTGCCAGAAAACAAGCTGTGATCTCTGTTTAGAGGCAATGGATCTCAGCCCATATTCAAGTGCACCGTGGCATCGGTCCTGTGCTATATCCATAACCCCAAATCCAGCCTTTCTGCTTTCTTTTTGCTCATTTCTGTGTGAAAGGAGGGAAGCAGCTAYGGGAGACCCGCAGGGCAAATGCGTGTGCACACAGGTACCCAGACACACGCTCAAACCACACCTCTAGGCTCAAAGTCAAAGCAAGGCAGATCATTGGTTTGCACTTGAAATAAAGATGGGCAGTTGTAACTCCCTCCCCCCATATATACCAGAACTTGGCASATGTCTGACATTTTAATTAAATTCCCTCAAAACCCTCCAGAATGCAAGGGTGAAGGCAAYAGCCCACACATTTTTACTGAGTCAAGCTTTCAGTGTTACAATAATTACCAGCATATCGGTTCAAGATTGAAAAGTAACGGGCTGGAATGCAGCTCAAAACAGTTACTTAAATGAAGTAAACCTGTTTTTCCCCTCTTCAGTCTTAACCTCCAGATATAAAACCAGCACTTGGTCCCACTGGAGGATGAGAAAACAATGCAAACATGTTGAATCCTACTCTTAAATTCCCCACTTTATTCCCTTGTTGGTTCTTTCTCCCAAACACAGGTGTTTCTCAGTGCTCTCTGCTCAACAAGCTAGAGAGGTTAACCCTTTATTACGTTTCCCCCAAAYATGAGGCCATGTTCATATGGAAGTACATTATGCATCAAAAGCTATCCAAAATAATCTCATTTCGTGTCCTCATACAGTAAGTGGCAGTAGCAGAAGAGGTTGAACATTTTAATACAGGATCATAAGGCCATCTTCTATCACAAAACAACTTATCCAAGTAAAAACAACCCTCAGTCTCAAAGCATGCAAACTGTCAGTGTTCATGAAGGTTGCTTGTGTTACTGTAGCTAGCAGGTTTATTTACCAGAACGCAAACATATACAAGAAATAGATAACATTCAACCAGAGTGAAAGATATGTTTAAAATTGATAAAACTATCGAGGAAAAMAAAATCAATTGAATTAAGCCCTCCATCCATGCAAAGTGAGAAACATCAGCTAACAGCTGGGGTAACAAAAAGCAAGCCCTTATAGATGTCTCATGGCAAGACATGTTTTAGATTAGAACCCCTAACCTTGGGGGTCAGTGGAGGTGGGAGGCTCCCCTCAAGCACCTGGTAAGYGTTAAAACAGCTTTCCTCTCCACCCTGATGGGAAAGGATGACTGGATTCCTAGCTTTGGGATCTAACACTGCAAACCAATGCCGCTTGCATAAAATCCTGCCCGTTAAGCAACTGAAGAAAATGGGTGCAAATTTAATTTCAAATGTATTACAAAATAATCAGAGTAATGTTCACAGCTTCTTTAGTTTGATTTTGATAAATAATTTCTTAAAGATGGCACCCAAAAGCACAGTTATTTGATATCATAAAGTAAGCCTTAATAGAAAATTTTCCCCACTCCCATCTAAGGTTACCTTAAGCTCAGCAACTTGTGAAGAAATGTGCCACATCAGACTTTCACTTAGGAATTTCATGCCATATGGTCCCAGAAGTTCAGAGAGGGCTCTCATTTCTGAGAAATAAAACAAGTTGTTGTACTTCAAACACTCCTTCTTCAATTATTTAATCATCTATTATCTTATTTTCCTCTCATTATCTAGCAATTATATTTTAATCAATAAAATCTAATTTCAGACATGAAAATTGTATCATAAGAGAATTAAAGTAACAGTCACCAATGCATCATATAGTGTACCCAATATACCAAATGTAGCAACCATACTTCTACCAAAACCTGGAATAGTTAGATCTGTGAAGGCATGGAGACAGYAGGAATGATAATTATTTAAATTAATATCGACGTTCTGAGAGTTGCTGCTATTCCAGTTACTCAAGCATATTGTAATTATCCCCTCAAAAAACATTTGGTAGAAACATCAGTTTACCTGATATGTCGGAGTATTCCTCAGCATTAAATGTCAACTCATTTTCTGTTGGCAAATTCACAAATGCCTTCATGGCAGGAAAATAGGCTATGTGACCATTGCTGACTTGCCTTAGCAAAGTTTCCAAATACCTTATCAAGGGGATGGAAAAAATGTTGCTTTAGGTGAAATGACATAATCCCTCTGTAGGTCTAAGTGTAAGTACTCTATACAGATGAAAACTTTTCTCATGACTAAGAGACAGAACACTCCAGAGACTACATCTCACTTGCACACTTCTACTCATCTACATCTTTCACCCGCAAACATTCAAATTCACAATAGGTAAACCTCAAAATGTTTTTAAACGTACTGGGAGAAGTAAGTCCATGCAGTCTGAAATTTTAGAAAGTTTCAAAGACTTACTCCACATGTAATTCCACTTCTCCAATTCCATACGCTCAATTAAAAGTTTTTTATATATATACACACATTTTATATATATAAAAATATATATAAAAATTATACACACGCTTTATAAGTTTATATATAAAACTAGGCATTTATAAAGTTTTTAAGAGATACATATATTTCCTTACCAATTTGTGTACAGACTGGTAATGGTTGGCTCCCCATGACTATCTAAATGCTGGGTTTGCTGAAGAAGAACATTGTTAAATACTCGCGTGATGTCGATCTGTACATAGTTTTCTATCGACTGGAGGACTGTCATGTAGGCTCTTACACTGGTTAACAACTCTGAAGGCTTGGCAATCTCTTGTGTTGCTTGATTATACATAGTCATTCCAACAATTGACCTTTAAAAGAAAAAGGCACTTCTTAGTAAAATTAAGCAGACAAATGTACAACTCTTGAACGATTTTACATTAAATGCTATCTGGATAATAATGGATTAGGAATAAAGGATCACACTGTTAAGAAGGTGATACTAATTTTGATTTTTTTTTTTTTTAAGCAAGAATTAACTTCTATGCATGTTTTCATCCCAAACTAGTCTRTTTGTGATTTCAGTCACTATATGGAGTTTTGCAATATACCTTTAAGAAGTTCTAGATAATGAGTACAGATTACTTGATAGCAATATAAGAAATATTTATCTTGTTTATTGAGAAATCTCTCTTTACAGCATGTCTTACTTGGTAAAGCGAATTTCCAGATGAGACGTTAAATATTCTCTTGGGGTGAATGTGTGTTCCCAAACCACCATGTTTGGTACGTAATTGATTGAGAAGCAGAGTTCAGAAAGTGCAGTGTGCAGTTTGTCCAGGCTTTAAGAACAGTTAAACAAGAAATTAAAAATATATAAATATTTTAGTCTAACATTATAGTTTTATTAAAAACACACTCCTAATGCTTTAAAAAAAGAGATTCCACTCTCTGTTCAACACTTCAGGCTCACAGCCTTATTATATTTACAGGCAATAAAATTTACTGGAATAAAATAAACAAGTAATATTCCATATACAAAACACATGAATTTTGACTGTAAAAGCAGGAGAGACTTACTTTGTCACAACCAATCTGTTTTTTCTCATGCTTTCTACTCCTGGTTTCTCCCTTTCCGGTTCTCCTTTCTTTCCAGTCTGTTTTTTTGACTTTTTGTTCACCGCTTGACTGATGGTTTTGGCACAATGTTTTGGCAGCAACTAGTTGAGAGAAAGAAATCCCCCCATCAAAAAAATGAAAATCCATTTCTTAGCAAGTGTGAAACACATTCTGAAATTAGGGTTCAGATTACATTGCACATGYGACCCTTCTCATTTTGACTACTAGCTACAAAATTCTAATAAAAAGAGAAAAGTCTTCCTCRAGCTGCTTTCAATGTTATAAAAACTTCCTTAAAATACGAAAAGACTTATAAAATTTAGAAAGTTGAACAACAAAACCCTTGAAGGTGAACTAAAAGAATACATGCATGCTTAGTAGCAGATATACACAGTAAGTTTATGACCTCTGACTATATGACATGCAGCACGAAGTAAAGCTTACACCAATGCAAAGTGTGTGTGTAGAATGGAAAACATCCAACACAAGACTGCATGAAGTTTAGCTTCCTAAATTTCACACAGCATAATACTGAAATTTCATTTATATTTCTCACTGAAACAAAAGCTCTTCAGAAAAKCAGAGAATTGGATGGAAAAATAACTGTCAATCACAAATACCCTTTTAATTAATTATGAATTATTCTCTAAAACAATATTCATCATTAATTCCAACAATCAAATTGGATTTTCATTATGCTGGTATCTTAGAAGTACCAGCTGAATAAAACCTTCTGCGTGCTCCGAGGTGGGGAGAGCCGCACGCACCTGATCGCTCAGCGTACACTGTTCTGTGCAAATGTCCGTGATGAGGTTTCGAGCTTGCTTGGCCATCTCATCCAAGAACATGTTACACAAGGAAAGACTGCGATCTCCAATATGATGTCGCTGTTGAGGAGAAAACGGACAAGTCTGATTTTCAGTTCCCCACTAGTGCCAAAATATTCACAACAACATATAACCCGGCACTGCGAGTAACAGTTAAACAAAACACAGGATTGGGATACCAGAACTAAATGCAGCATCTTTAGCCCATCCACCACCGAGACCAGAAGACTATTTCCTAGGGAGAAAGCAAAAGCAGTAGATGCCTCATCTGTCACCTTAGGGCAATGCCTAATTCCTTCACAGGCCTTTAAGCTCTAACTCTCTAGAACGCTAGACACAGGAAAATAAATGCATTAATTAGTCAATTTCTGATTTTTGGTGAAATCTACAAATTAAAAACAGCTTCAATGCAGTTAATGCAGTTTTTATAGGTAGGCTGAGGTGGCAATTAAGCAACAGGTCCCTTAGTTTTGTTGCAAACTGACCTRAAGCACCACACACAGCGGTAATGACATATGCACAGCTTTTCTAATCAGAACACAGTCCTACAGAATGGTCCTAAAAATATGCACRAATTGCACACAAACACAGTTTAAAGTTTTCCAGAAGGAATTCTGCATGCGAGTCTAAGATCATTATATTTAAACAAAAAGATTATTTTAGAAAAGTGAAATAGAGGAATCATGCTGGAGGTATTAAAAAAGTCCTGTAAAAAATACTCCCTTTGTAATAGGGATTATTTGCTGTTGATGAGAATTAGAGATCTAATAAACAATTTATGTTTTATTTACTTACTGTATTATAATGATTTTAAACAACAGATTAATCAGTGTAATTTATCTCAACTCCTTTCATTCTTGAAGATTCAAGGGGGAAAAGTACCAAACCATGAAAACTTCAGAGTCACTGACATTGCATATTGTCATTAAAAGTGTTCTGTTTATATTTTGTCAAACTCTTCAGATAAAAAAAAAAGGGGGTGGGGAACAAAATTAATCAAAAGCAGATTTTCATGTTTAATACTGAGCTGAGTCTGCTTTAGAGCATCTAACAGTCAAGGCTTCTGGGAGCTTCCCCCTCATTAACTTGTACCAGTAGTAAACTTAAAAGAAGAGTATCCAACTCAGGTTGGATAGAGAAAGCAGTGTCACACCTTTGCAACATCGATAAAGATGCAAACATGCTCTCTCCACTCAGTTCTTTTCTTTTTCAAATGGATCTATGCAAGCACAGCCTCTGACTCAATGAAATCCTTCATGTTCACTTGGTCACGGGCTACACAGAGCAATGAAGACTACTTTTCCAGAAAAAAAGGTTACTAAACCATGCAATCCATATATTGAACTAAGTGTACTGTTGGCTGTGGCAAAATGTCCTTGCTACAGCTGAATTTAAAGTAGCTAGTGTTTAGTGGAACTTGTCTACAGGCTCCTTACTGTTGCCCTAGTGGTTCTGAAAGACATCTCTTGTCCTGAAGGGAAGATTTCCTGGAAACTTCTTAGTGGTTTTCTAATATAAATCAAGTTTGCAGCTGTACGAAGCACAGCAGACAGAGGAAATAATGACACAGACAAATATGAAAGAAGATACAGACAAGGATTTGACATTCAAATAAGAAAAACATACATACTTCAATAACTTGTATTCATCTAATTGTTTTCAGACCTGCACTGCTAAGAATGAAAACACACCACCATGGACACTAAACAAGTTTGGCCAAGTTCACCCCTGGAGTGGTTCCAAAGTCAACAGATATTTAAGAAATGTTCTGAAGGATCTATTTCATTACAACATAAAAATGCAAAGAATTTTCTAAGAATGAAACACTTGCCTTAATGAAGGGTCAATGTCTTTAAGCAGCCTTTTGCTTTTTCTCATTTCTAATTCTAGCCAAACCCAAGGGGACAACAAAATGAATGCTTGTCTTATCCTGTACTTCACTTAGATTTTTTTCTTTTTTTAAACTTATTAAAGAAATGCCTTTTACAACAAGTCATACTGAACTCTTGACTTGATATTTTCTTTTCTAACTATGAACATTTTGCTTATAATGTTTAATGGGATGGAGTATTTACTGGCATCCGTATCTAGGTAAGTGGTWTGACCAAAGTCATAGGGACAGTACCTGCTTCAGCACATTTCCTGTTCCTCAAATCAGGATTAACTAGTAAGTGGATCCAGAAGCCAACACTCAGGAGATCTGAGCTTCACCTCAGGTTTTGCCATTAACCCCTGACTGATCCCATCTAACCTAATCTAAAAATCTCAGGTCATCTAACCTTTGTACCTTAGTTTCACCACTTCTCAAAAAAAAGACAATGCTTGCTCACTTCAGAAAGGACTCTCATATTCAAGGATCATATGTTTTTAATAAGGTATCTACGTGATTTACTTCAATTTTTACCATTTGCTGCTATTCCCTTGAATCTCAAGATTAGTATAATACTTTCTTTTTGTGTTCTATGCTAGTCCTCTGTACTTTGAAAAGATAACAGCAAATATTTAAGAGAATTTATTTCAAAATTACCTCTTCTGGGCACAGTTCATGGGTGCAGCTCATAAAATGAGTACAAAGCAGCGGGAATGCAATTGAGTATCTTGATTGAGAAGGAAGCTCCAAACACTGCTGAAACATCTTCTCAAAAGCACGACTATAAAAACTGAACAGAGAGAGACATTTAAATGGAGTATATACGTAAGACTTCTGRCAACAGTCTCCTTCACACAGATCAAATATGATTTTAGTTTCAAATCAGTCACCACAGTTTATATCCAATTAAAAAAGTACATCAACTATGTTTTCAACTATGTTTTCTGTATCTACTTCTTAATAATTTTATTATCATCTCTCTAACATTTTTATTTTGATGTTTGCTGCACTGACATTACAAAATTTGGCTGTTTTTTCCAATTTTTTAATTCTTCAAATTTGTAAAGGAAAAATCTGCAAATGACTCCAGGTCAGTTACATGACTTCATGAAGMCTCCTGAAGTAAAGCTAAAACTCTGCTCACTGATCTTCAGAAGCACCATTAGCTAATAAATTCTGATGGATTGCTCAAGGTAGTTACTTTCCATATAATCTTTAGAAAAAATATTCTAAAAAGCATTTCCTTAAAAAAAAAACCAAGAAAAAAAAGCCAAATACCCCAACATTACCTTTTTAAACACTTCAACACATTTATGACAAGGGAATAACTGGACTTTCAGAGTCAAATCTAGCCTGTTTTTAGCTCACTATAAAGCAGTGTCCTTCATGAGTGACACAAGCCTTTTCCCTGGAAACTGAATTCTAAGGTTCTGCAGTGGGGTTAAGCTGTATTTCTCCAAGACTAACGGTTTCACACTGGGACTTCAGACAGTTTAATTCAACTACTGCTTACCCATTGTATTTGTCTACTGATCCTACAAGCATTTAATTATTTMAGCCTTAAGCAATCACAGAAAGGTTTCAATCAACCTACCTCTTGAGTCTGTTTTTCACAGTCCTTTTATTCTGGTTTTCTACAAGTTGGACATTCGGAATTTACTCCTTCCAAAGCAACTATTGCTAGCGCATTATACAAGCTTGCTTTTTAAGAACATAGTGTTATACCATGACATTCAGAAATTGTTTCCACAGTTAACCTGTTTGAAGAACTACATTCTTGAAATCTCAATTAGTGTAGGTTCAGCTTTGTCTTAAGATGGACCTCTATGAATAGTTACTAATAATGTGATTAAATCAGAATCTTCACTTTTCTTGATAAGCAAAGAAGCCCTTACAGCTGCACATAGATAAGGCGCTATGCTGTATTGAGTACAATCCTTTTTTTCCCAACATTAGTCTTCATTTTTCTTTCAGCTCAGACATTTGTGCAGCAATTGCATCAGCATCCTGCAATATAAACTTTCTACTTCCCCTAAATTCACTTTCTACATGATATCTCCTTAAATYTAAGAAGATTCTATTCCTACTGTGACCTGACATTCAGAATCATTCTGCATGTTTATTTTTAGATGATATTACAGCATAATCAAAASTAGTACTTTTTGCTTTCAGTCCACCTGTCAATGCAGATCTTTCTCAGCAAACCATTCTTTGCATTATTTGCTGTTTTCCATAAGTGAAGAACCCTGATTTCTCTGTAGAGGTAGCATGGAAAGGCAAATCAGCAATGCAGAAAAATGCACCGTGAGGCCAAAAAAAATCCACTCAGCATTCTCTGTTCATAAGCACATTTTGCAATCTACTAAAATTAGATAAGCACTAAATGAAATTTATGTTAAGTGCAGTTTTCCAGCACAGCAACTCTTTTGATAAAATTTCTTATGCAAAGACATTAATTATTAAAATCATGACACTCAAAAAAATTAAGAGTTTCTAAAAACAGAGTAAGCTACTTTGCTTATTAGAAGAAAGGTTAAAGTCATCCATAACAATCATATCAATACATATCATGAAKAGTAAACTGGCAGATGCTTATTCAGTCTTTCAAAGATGCAGACACTRTATCTGAGAGCTGAGAATACAAAAAAAAATTTATAGAAATATATAAAATGCATGTATGGGATAGTAAAGAATGAGGCAAAAGTGTGCTGGAAGGATTAGACATATTGCAGCACTCTTATGATATTTAAAATTTGCATCTGAAAGGATGAACCAAACAACAACAAAAATCTGCCACAGTCAGGCTTGTAACATACCAAAATATAGAAAGATCTGAGGTTTCAACCAACATCTCCACTAAAGAATCTACCATTTTTGTGTGGAAAATGATTGTATTCATCATCTTCCCAAGTTCTCGATGGTCCGCAAGACCAAGTGAGGCTTTTGAAACACTAGTGTAGGCCTGGAAAGACAATAAGAACAATTTAAAGTTATATTGACAGTTGCTTTTATGTAAATTCCACTATTGTTGCCTTAAAGTTTAAATACTGATTAAAGCAAACACAGAACATCTATCCTTTCAAAGACAGTGCACAGCCTTTGCACTCAACTTAAAAATAGCAAACTGCCTTTCAAGTACATTTCCAGAAGTCATTTTGAGCTTAAACTTRTGATATTTATTAGGGCCTTCCCTTACTAAAGGAAGAAATTCCTTCTAATAATCAAGCTGTGATTAAACAAGGAAAAAAAAGGATAAACATTTTGAAAGTGATTATCACTAATAAAATACAAAGTCTAATGTTGATGTAATGATTTTGCAGTTTAAACAGTAAAAGTACTATCTACTTAGTAGTAACTTACTTAATACTAAGTAAATAGTATTTTACAAAGYCAGTTGAAGATATTTTTGCAATGCGCAGAAGTCAAATCATTGAACAATCTTACCAAAAAGTCTCTACTTCCCCTTCAGTAGGCTGTATCAGATTCTATAAAGTACAAAGCTGCCAGAAAACTGCTTTTGTTCAATACAATATTTACAAAGAGCAAAGACAAAACCTTGAATTTTAATACACCTTCTGGTTTCAAAGTGCCATGCACAGYCTTACCTGCAATCTAAACCAATCTAATCTCATTCCTCTGAAGTCAAATACCTCTCCATCTTCAACTGCATTCAGAGAAAAAAAAMCATACAGAATATGAAATCTTTAGGAAAACAACCTTAAGCATTCAGACACATTAAATCACTTTTTGGAGAAAAAAAAAGTATGCGACTACTGAAATTTACACKGTTACCTAACAATATCATTTGGCACAAACACATCAGTAGGAATTAGAATTAAAATATTTATATGCTTTCTGCAGTAAAATACCTATACCCTTAGGCACAGCTACATAAAATTTCAGCTACCTCATTTACTGCTTAGAACAATTTTTTATGCTTTGCTTGTGCACCACAAATGCTTTTCCCCCACCCTGATTTGCACAAAGTCAGGCTTCAAGATTCCTTTTRTAATCTGTCTTTCCAGAGGATATACTGATGCACTGCAGCAGATGAGGTGAACTGTAAGAAAAAGGAAGCTAAGTATAAAAGGGACACCGATTAAGAAGCTGATGGCACAAAATAATTGAGAGAACAACTACAGTTCGTACTGAGTTATCTAGTATAATTGATTGCAGAAGACAAAAAGTAACAAATTTCCGAGAGGAATTTGCTAGTTGCTTACAGTTTGCTCAAGTTCAGTTGAGCAGCAGACTTACCCTGCTTCACACTCAGCGAAGTCATAGTGTTTACAAAAGAGGACATGATGATCGACTCATCCTCTGGGCACACTGAAAGATTCTGAAATAAAAATTGTTACTATTTATCTCTCAAAACTGATTTATGAAAGAATTTCTAAATCCAAACCCCACTTTGTCAACTATGCTCTGAAGTGTGCTTTATATACTTTTACAAAACACAGCTTGATCAGTAATGCTATATAACAATGATTTTACTTGTCAAATTCATTGGCTGATGACAAATTGCTAGAGAAGCTGGTTTCCAAATCAAAAGAGGCTCAAAGCAGTCAGTAAACCCAAAGTTTAAGTTATATTAATAAAGAACAGTGAAATAAAACTATTTTTACTGTGTAAGTACCAATATAAATAAATAGTAGGAAATAAGTTCCAGCTTTTGGTCATTGATGTATTGCTTAAAAGTGTGAAATTAATTTGTGCAAAACCCAAAAAGACCTATATTGCATTATAAACTTGGTGACAGCCTGAGTACCTAACAGATTCATAAAATTTGGGCTCCATCTTGTGGTCACAAGAGAGAAAAATCAAACCAGAAATGGTTTCATTTCTTTGTCAGCATAAGTATGAAAAATATTTTCTACAGTACTTCCTTGAGGGCTATACTCGATTATTTGGATTTATTAAAACAAATCAAAACGTTCCTGAGAATTTATTTCACAAATTCAAAAAACACCTACTACCTTAACTTTAGTAACCATCTTCTACCCAGCCATGGGTGTTACTTAAATCCAAATCACACCCACTCTGGATGACAAACCCACGGGAACAGGAGAGGATCATCTTCCATTAAAGAAGAAGCATCATCAGCCTCTTCTCCAGCATCTTTGCATTCCTATAGATAGATCTGTGAATACCTATATGGGGATAGTTCTGTTGAATATTGCAATGTACTTCTTTAACTTTTCCTTTTCTTGCAAGGGTTCACAGTTTCCACATGTCACATTCCCTAGTACACCTTGCCCTYTACAACAGAAGGCTCTCCTGACACTCTAAGTTGGCCACAGACCTGTGTTTTACCTCTGAGCTCATCTTGGAGCTCCTTGGCAATTCTCCCCCACTCCAATAAGCAATTCCAACTGCCAGCATGCTATCTTTTTCCTCTTTAAAGGATAAAAAGTATAAACTGAACTTTGTTCATTAGCAAAGACCTCAACAGGTCACCTGCTTCCACCATCGGCCCAAATCAGGGCTAATTTTGATGCTAGAAGTTTGATAATACGTAGCTCAAAAGATCCCCACTCTAAAATCACTTCCAGCAAGAATAGTAATAAAGAAAATCAGAGAGAGGAGCCTCTGATGACACCTCCAGCTGCCTGAGTATTTAGGCCTAAGCAAGACAAACTACCTCAGCTGGAGGCAACCTGGGACACACAACCCACAATGATGCTCTTGACTCTCACTGTTGTTTTTGAGGCTTTTAAGTGTGGATGACCTAACGCAGTAATTATCAGCTCAGACATAAAAGCTAATTGTTAAACTCAAGTTAAGGTTGATGCTGAACACAGAAAGGCATCCATTCACACAGAATATTTTAAAAAGGTGCCACAAGATCCTAGCTCATCTTTTCATTTCAGCAGCATTTGCAAMATGATCCTGGTCACATTTTCTCCGTTACGTCAGGAAAATAACATCACAAGACAGCAGCACAGGTGCTTCTTTAGCAGGTTTCAAAATAGATAACTTGTCTCTCGAGGAGAAATATTATGTAGTCATCCATCAATACAACATTGCTTAGAAACACTGAAGTATGCATAGAATGATCAAAAGCACAGCTCTAAATCTTAGTATTAAATACCTTGACTTACTTCAGGATGTTCAAAATCCACAAACCTGCGTGCACTTCATGAAGTGACTTTGAACCAAAAGGCCTTTCTCAAGGGTGCATTGGAGGGCCCTAGCGCCCGCAGTGCCGTACCTGAACCAGCTCATTCAAGACGACGGCGTCGAAGCCCGACAGGTACTGCACGTAGTACCTCTGCATCACCGGCCCGTACTTGCGCACGTGCGCTCGGAGCTCTTCCATGTAGAATATTAACTCGGCTATGTGCCTGCACAGAAAGCAAACAAAACAGCTGTGAATATGAAATATGGAAAATACTACGTTTAAGATAAAACTCATGTTGTATTATCTAAGTAATAAAACTTTATTTGATTTAAAAGACAGTCTTGCCTAAAAAAAGCAAATCTACCAATTAAGTTGTTTGACAGTTTCTTCCCCCTCCACTGCTTATTTGATCAATCTAAAAAAAAAATAACATTAAAGATGCATGATTAAAGCCTTTTTTTCCCCCTCTTTCCCAAAGAAAAAATATTTTCATTTACTTTAAGAAACATCTCTATTTTGATAGAAAGTGCAACTTTTCCACAGAATCTGAATTTTCACTGATGGGCTTTGGTTTCTAATACAAYACCTATAGTTTTCTGGCCTCATGGGAAGATTAGGTTTCCCAGGGAAAAGTTCTCTGACCTGTCCCAATTCTTTCATCTACCCATCTTTTCCTATTTTTGGTGTGGCACTAAAAAACAAACGTACTTATCTATGAAGTCATCTGCGCTCTTCTTTGGCATATTATCTGCATGACGGAGAAGCCAAATAATCTCATCACGAGCAAAGGATAGCGCCATAAATACAAATAGTGCCTGAAAATGAAAAATTGTTCAAGATCTTTGAGCATATACACATATACACATTCATGTACATACAAAGCTGGACACTTGCTGCCCACAAGGAGGCAAACAGTTTCTAAAATAGAGAATCTTAAAATTAAGTAGATTTTCTCTCAGGTTATTGTTTGTTTTCCTTCTCCAAACGTCGTATTATCATGGAGGAACAAGTTGTAAGGTGACATAAATGAAAAAAGTAACTACTCTAATTACCTTGGGTCCCAACAGGCCTGGCTGATCAGACAGGACAGTTGCCAGTTCTTTGAGTGCAGAACGTAAAAACTTGCGTCTCTCTCTGTGCATTGAGCCACTATATTAAAAGAACAAAACTGAAACATCACACACTGCACTAACCATGGAACATTTCATTCTATATGCTCCTTAAGGGACATTAAATTTTAAAACCAAGTACTCTGCCTTAGTCTATGATCTGCATTTGACTCCACTACATTTCTATTTAATTTACATTCATACTAAATAACTAGATGAACACYAAATGAACAGACTTTTCCTTCCCCCACCCAAAGTAATCCCCCCAAATTCCCCTAAACCATTTATSAAAGCATCTCAAAAACAATATTGTTGATAACAATGAGATTAAAAAGGATATTTATACTTTTATAGAAGCTAGACTCCTGTTCAGTAGGAGAGTTAAAGGTGATTACATATATATTTCCTTACTACTGCTGCAGAGAAAAAAAAATGCAGAGGGGAAAAACAGCACAGCCATAATCCTTTTTTTTTTTTCCCTCTTTTCCCTCTCTCAAATAGCAATATTTATTTAAATAAACTAAGTATTTAAATATTTACATAAATATTTAAATAACATAAATGGTGTTCAAAACTCCGTTTTTCATTACGGAGATCTTAATGCACAAGGATTTTATTTTTCTATTTTATTACTGCTTTGTAAGAGCAGAAGCTCAGCATAAATCTCCTCAGGAGAGTAGAAATAAAAATAGTTATATACCGCCTAACCTGTACACGGTCCTGTTTGAAAATACACAAGTAATTCATAATTTAACAAACCCATTTTGGGCATTCTCTGCATTGGAGAAAAACAACATTAAAATCTGCCTGGAAAATCTTATAAGATACTTACGCATGTGATACAGCAGCTTCTTTGCACTCTCTGATGTCATTAATACGTTTGTTGTAGCTGCAAGTAAAAAGAATCAACTATGTTAACAAGCACCAGTAAAAAAATTAACAGGAGCTGTAGCTTCACATGAACTGCAATTCTAAAACGAGCAAACACAGCAAGAAAGGCATAGATAAGACATCTTTGCCTAATGAGAACTGCTTAAAGGGGATACCCAAAGCAACTATACCCTCTAAGAAAACACCCTTGGCCTTCTCAGGTACAGATCTAAACTTAGTTTAGTGAGGAGACTAAACAAAAATGCTTGTGTACTGAACATCCACAGGTGGAGCTTATATGAAAAATCAACAACATTAAAAGATCAACAGATGCTCTATAAGGAGAAAAAGACCAAAGAACAGAAAAGTCTTACCCTCGTATATTTACAAACAGGTCTTCTGCAGCTTTGTGGATATGGAATACTTCATCTCGAAACAGAGCCAAGCAGGAGCTGCTCTGAAGGGCAAGTTTCCAAAGGTTCAAAGCTGTAGCATCACTATTCAGGATTCCATGGCACAAAATAAACCCAACTTCAAAGGTTCACATCAATTTGTGTCACAACACAGAGGTACAAAGACAARAGAACAGTAATATTATTACACATTTTCTCTTAAATGCTTCAATTATTTTATTGATAAATGYATTGTAAATTTTAACATATACTAGAGTTTTACACAGATAGAAAAATACCCTGCAATACATATTCTTTTAGAGGAGGGACCAGTGCCTTTGTAGTACTAAAAACTTAGTACTCACACTGCTCAGCTGTTTTCAGCTGATTCACTAAAATTTCTATAGTCAAAATTTCTATAGTCTAAAACAAACTGATGACAAACTCTTTTCCAACATATGCTAAATTCTAACTTCCATGCATGTAAAAGCACAGTTCCTACAGATTTGGTTTAAACAAGATGACTAGAATCTGTCTGAAGATAACTTTTCTATAGTGCATATTAAAGCAAACTCAAAAAAAAAAAAAAAAAACCCAAACACTTTTTAAAAGTAGCACAGCCCAGAATTATTTCAATATTTCAGAAGATTTTACTCACAAATGATCCATTTTTCCATTGCATCCAGAGAGAGGTATTCACATGGCATCTGTTTAGAAAATACATGAGTTGTAGTAAGCTGATTATCTACAGATAATACATTTCATTGAAGTTCTTCTTAAAACAAGCTAAGAAAGCTCTTCCATTTTCACAAATCATGCAAGACTGCTAATGTCTGCTAACAAGGGACTATTTCATCCATTTGAACTTCCACATCCTCTAACATCTTGAAGAAAGGATAAAGAATTTTTGACAATTTTAGTCTCAAATGATGCATTTAAGAATGTTTCAGAATGCATTTCATCTAATGTTGCCAAATTAATACTTTCAGAAAAAAAAAAAAAAATCAGAGACTAAACACAATCTGACACCTGCTAACTCCTTAGCTTTTACCAAATGACACTCATGGATATTACAACTGAGGCAACAAGTGCAAACAATAATAATTTTTCAAGAAAGTATCATTTCTGAGTTTCAGGCCATTAGACCACAAAGTCTTGTGTAATGTAAGACCACAAAGCATTACACAAAGTCTTGTGTAATGCTACACAAGACTATTTCCTTGTACACTGTAATAGCCAATTCTCTACACCTTGTGATTATCAAAAACTGGAAACGAGGCCACAAGCTAATGCAATGGAAGCTTCTCCTCTACTCAACTGTTGCCAGGTTTTCCCAACCAAGTTATTTACTTCTCCAAATAAAAGCCAGGCAACGATTAGAAAACCTCGATAGAGGGAGAAAAACATTGTTTTCCATGTTGTTTTACAGAAAATCCTGTTTAATGTTACTGTATAACCCCAATCAGCAGGCCGTACTGTGTCAGACTGTGCAGGGTTAAGCATTGTGCTGGGCGCGCTGATGAGGCTCAGCAGTTGTGCGTTTCTCCACTGGTCAGCTGAGAGGTTTCTTCGAGGATAGACCATCTGGAGTGAAATCAGGGCATCTGAGAGGGACTGGAGAGAAGAGTAATGATTAGTCTTGATGTCCTCAGGGCTCAACAACACTGCTCTAAAGTCATCTTCCACTGATTTTTTTGTCAAGGAAACCACTAAGACCACTTTTGTGGTTATCTGTTTAATTGTATTAGGYCCTGGGAGGACCATGCAAATATAATATAGCTTTTGTCCTACATTTTAAGAAAAATGTAGGCAAACTGGGGAGAATGCAGAGTTGTAAACAAACACAARCTTAAAACCATTTGTAGAGAAATGCTAAAGGAAGTTGGCCACTTAACCTAGCAAAGCTAAATGAGTCGACCTTTGAGTATAGAAAATATTAAAAAGGCAGTGGCAAAACAACAGCTCTCCAAGATCATCAGCTTAAGGACTAGCCAAAGCGCAAAAAGAAAACAGAAAAACAAAACTTCCATATTCAACTAGAATGGTAAAGCTGCAAAAATGTTTTCCTACAACATTAGGCATCTCCTTCAATTCACGGTACAAAGCCAAATCGGAAGATTTACAACTGAATWTTAAAATTTTCAAATCCTTAGTAACATGTATCCTTAATAATGGGTGTCAGCACTCCTACATTCCTATGGTTTCTGTTGTTCAACGGAGTATCAAAACCCACAGAAATAATCCATTATAAATGTGAAATCCCCCMAAAAAATTACATCTAATGCTCTTTGACAAAACAAACCCTTTATATTTACTGTTGTATTTCTACCTCTCTCCTTTTAGATTACTACGTGCCATTGAAAAGAAGTTACATACTTTACTGTGAGGTACAAATTCCTCCATCATTTTCTTCAAAGGATTTTCATAATCCACAATCATCTGGCCAAGTCGTGGATATTCCCTGTCACTAAAAGCAGGAACAAATGGTTAACTCAGATATAGCTACTCTTTMAAGACAAAAAGGCAACTTAGTTTTTTTTACCTTGCTCCATGAGTCATTTCATGAGCATAATTATACAATCCAATGATGGCTTTCCTTTCCTCAATTCGGGATAGCAATATCATTAGAGTCGTGTAGGTTATAATCAAATCTAGGTAGTTCTTTGTTAAATCGAAGTTTACAGTCTAGAGAAAAGAAACAATTACTTTTAATTGGAAACTTTCAGAATAAAACCCAAAGCTTCTTTTACTCTCTTCACCAATTTTCAACATTTTAACAGCACAGTAGACTATCTTCACTATTGTTTTTGCTCTGACTGCACAAAGACACACAGTCTTATCCAAATTAGCAGACTGATAGAAAAGCTTTTCTTTGATACTTTCAAGCAATCAACTACTCCCTATGAACTGTGAGCAAAAGTGTTAGGGATTTTTTTTTTTAAACTTAGCACTTTCAGCTGCTTTTCTACTGCTTCTTCTCACAGCAGAAAAAGTAACGTCCTTACACACCTCCAGGTGACAGACCTGAGGTTTTTCCATCTTGTGAGCCTCAAGCGGCTCAAACATATAGATGAAAGCAAACAGGAGAAAGTAAACTTGCAGATGCAAAACCCCCAAAATATACACTATATTTATATGCATTGTAGTTATCTGTATACTTGGTAATAGTGTATATATACACTATATATAGGATATATAATTATAGCACATATAGCAATACTGTAACCACTGCCCATTCAGTCTATATAAAACATCCTAGCTTTTACTTCAAACCATTTATAAAGTTAAGAGACCTGAAGATTCAGTTTTTCTCTTGCATTTAAGACTAAAGATATCATGTTTACTAAGCTACAATCGGGTATTTCTAACTTTCTGTGTTGAATTACGGTTACAAATATTTTTCAAAAAATTTTTGGAAGCTTCACTTCTTAAGCTAAAAACTTACAATATCAAAGAAGACTTGGCAAGCATCAATAGTATTCAGCAGCTCACAAACATGGTCCTTGAAAAACAAAGGAACAATTTTTGTTTAAAAATATCCAAGCATGTCAGTTTACTGCATTTAGAGACAGAGGTTATGCTTTTGCTTTAAACAGAACTACAATTTCAGCTACTTCATTGTGAAGCAGTACTTCATTAATAAAAGGACAGAGACAGGAGGTCACAAAACTACTTGAAATATTTGCTATACCTCACCTTGAATTCCATAACATCAACAAACGTGAAGTAGTATAACGCCAGGTTCTTCAGAATCTCTGATTTTTCTTTCTGCAGCTGAGCAAGCTGTTGCTAAAAGAAATAAGCACAAATACCGTCCTTAGAAGATCATGAGAAATCAGGAGGCGACTACACCAATGAAATAAACCTGTGATGTGCAGGTTAACACCAGGCTTGCTTCGCAAAGAATTCTTAACATGGCTTTCTAAGACTGAGGTTTTGTGTGTCTCAAATACACACAAAGTCCTCAAAACAGACCATTTTAATAGCTGCTGACTATATTTTGAAGATAAAAGTCAAATTAGTACACATTAGTACCCAAGTCATATTGTTTAGCTCAGCTAGAGACAAAAATGGGAAGTTAGGAGAACACTGTTATCATATGGGTAATTAGCAAAAGCAGAACAGTACATGAGCACAAATCGGTATGACAAAAATAAGGACAGTACTTGAGGTGGGAGAAAAGAAGGTGGCAGGTTACAGTTTCTACTACAGAAAAACACTGTGCTTTTAAATTCTGAACTTACCAAAAAGAATATCCAGGCAAAGCCACGTTAAGCATGCAAAATAAAATGTAGATACAAACATAAAATACAGTAACGGTTCTTTGACCAGTTCCATACAACACAATAATACATTCAAACAAAAGCAACAAAATAAAGAAACAAAAAAGAAGCAAAACACTAGCATTAGACACTGGTGAATATAATGAAGGAGGCAAATGGGAATACAAAGGCATAAAATCACTCGTGGGGATTTTTTTAAACAGAKATTGAAATCTCTTATTTTACATATTTTTCATAATTTTCTAGAAGAATTAGATAGCTCATTTAAACAGTTACTATTATAAACAGAAGAAAAGCAGTGTTAGTTACTACAGTCTTGAAATACGACAAGGATCTAACTATTAAGTGGCAATAGTSAGGTGCTAGTTTGCTTCTCAGCTGATATCTGAGTGGGAAAGGACTAAAGCAGTCACAGCACTCAATATCAACAACTGCTCTCCAAAAGCCTTGAAGATTTTCATTTGAAGATGGGTCAAGTTAAACAGGATTTTCTCTCTCTGCAGGAGTGATCAAATGCAGGTAAGGATTAAATAGTTTCAAAACAGTTTGGTCGGATTTGTAGACATTAGAAGCGAATATTCTGCTTTGTCCCTCTCTCCGTAAAGCTGTACTCTGTGTTGTACAGCACTCAACTCACAGGAGCAAATCAACTACAGAGCTACCACATGCCATATACAGTTCAGATGTGTTTTGCCTTTTTTTCCCCCGAAATTTTATTAAGTGCTTCTGATCTTTACCCTCAAGATTTCCCATAGAGTCAAGGGACATACACATTTATGAGGCAATCTGAATGACATGAGAAACATTATAAAAAATGACAACATTATCAAACACTCATACCTACTCTTATACCACTGCAAGGGATTTAGCCTTGGAGGTCTATATGCTCGCCTTACTCCTTATTTTAGTTTCTTCACRTAATCATTAACTTGGATTTTAGACAAAAAGCAGGGGCAAGTAAATGCATTCATTTGGTGATTTCTCCTAAAAAAATCTAACACATCTAAATCTAGGAGATGGATATTTTCACTTAAACTAGTACAGCACAAAAATCAATTTTCAAACAGAAGCCCAGGAGCTCTCACTAAGCTTCCCCAAACATTAAACCATGAACCTGTCCAGAGACCAACCCATCCAAAAGCAGCTCATTCTGCGCCTGCAGCTCACACAGGTCTGCCCAGTTCCAGACATCTAACAGGGAAGTTGGGGTTCTGCTCAAATCCTCCTAGATGCTCAGCATCTAGGAGAGCTGGTTTCGTTCTTCATTCTGACTCTATACTGCTCAGAAAGAAGAAACTGATTGCTAGGCTGAATCCCAAGTTGCACTTTCACTTCTGCAGTACAGAGGAGGTCAGGTAGCTTTGAAAATAGGATGGAAACAATTGAATTTAGTGGGGAGGGGAATATCTCTTCAGAGAAGCTTGTATGTTGCACAGCGTGACAAATACTAAATTCTTTAAGTCAATATTGACTCTAATGCAGAGAGACCAAGGAAATAAGAGAGGTTACATCCACATCTGTGCCTAAACACTCTTTTTCCTACTGCAATCCCAACCAGGACTAAGCAAGATGCAATGAAAATTGAGACTATGAAGGTCTCAGGGTTTGTATCTGAGCACCTATGCTGGGCATCAGTAACAACCAGCAACAGAGTCCTTGCTTGTGCGAGACTTGGCTGCTCCAAAGTGGAGATGCAGCAAGAGAGGAGATGGTGCTGGAAACTACTCTTGCAAAAGAAATACTTATTTTCGGAGATTCCATGAAGCTGCACATTTAGGCGAAGAATACAGGGAGGTATTCATCCCGGAGCCAAGCTTTAACAAACCTCTGCTGTGTACCACTAACTAGCTGCCTATATTCCCTGAAATACACTGAAATGATGCCTTGCACAGTTAGGTTTATCATACTTTGGACTCTGAGGGTCAAGAGTATCAGCAAATTTCTATTTAAATTTTTAAAACTGAAGTAAAAACAATCTACCAACTGTACTCATTGCTACATCAGTACCCTGTGAATAGTTTAATTCATACAACACTGACTGAAGAGCAGTAACTAAAAGCACAGCTTACAGCATGTGGCGTCCTGGGCGTTTGTCTGCATTTTTAACACTTGGGAATGCGGGTGTAGCTCTCTCCACACCCACTGCAACAAAACTTTCCATTACTAATTTCATAACAGCTGTTTAGAAATACCCAGGGCTATCTCGTTCTGTGTTACGTTTGAGGTGATTTGCCTTAGTCTGTAACGCTCACTTAGCTGCAAACATCTTTGCTTCCAGTATTGAGTAAAAAATACATACGAGCTGAAGAAATAAGAAACATTCAAATTATTACTATCAATAAAATATTTGTTTAACTAGAGATAATCATGCTGTGTTGATTAGTTTAACATAGAAGTATTTTATTTATACTTAACATAGAAGTATTTTATTTATACTTAAGTAATACTTGAAGATCTTGTTTTTGCTGAACAAGGTTGGCTTACAAAATCGCATACTTTATAGGAAGCTTAAGGTTCAAGTCTGATGGCAAGATCAGGAAAAAATGAAATAATTTGTTACTCAAAATATCAACCATTTGCAAACTGCAAGACAGACTGATTGAAACTTTTTTGACCATGATTCTGTGATAATTGTCCTGTTCAATCATGCCAAGACACAAGTATATTAATAATGTTAATAAATGTGAATTTAGTATGAAGAAGAGATATGATGAGAAATACAAGACAACTAGAAATGGTTGTTTAGAGGGTTTTTTTAGGAAAAAAAGAAGAGAATCACTGTAGTACTGTAATGATTTTATCATATATATTTGACTGATATTAATTGTGTTTAAACTAATGCCTTATTTCTTGGTCTAGGAATAGATGGTAAATATGAGGGAGGGAATGTAAGAAGAGCAAATGACTATTGGTATTTATTAGAGGTTTTAAGAAGTAAAAGTCAGAATCACCTGCCACAGAAATTAAAATCAATGCTGTTTATATAATGCTCCTTGGGCASCACGGTCACCCCAGGGAAGCTGCGGAGGGACAATATGCAACAACCCCCCTAACACACACACATATATGGAGGTCTAAAAGCAAAACACCAGAAGTACTCACAAAGAAAATGTTATAAGATATATATACACAGAAAACTTAATTTTTATCTGTTGTTAAAAATGGGTCCAGCRAATCGTTAACTGTTACAAGAGTGCAAAACAACATAAGGATGAATACTGCACTGGTAGCTTCCATTTTGCTCACTTATCCAGTATTTCTAAGCATTGGAGCTGTTACTTGTTCATTGGTAGAAAAACAGTACATCTTTGCTGTTGAATTATCACCAATATTTTCTGCAGAAAGAGATGAATGAATAATAAATACAGAGAGACCAATCTATGGTGCAGCTAGAGCTTCAGAGCTTTCAGGTCCCGCAAGTCCCCTACGCCACGGCCCCTACCTCGCCAGGCAGGCCGAGAACACCCTTCCTGCTGGGAATCCCTCCTGGCTGGTCCCATTGGGGACACAGCGGACAAAGGGTACAGCCAGATCAGGAAAACACCCCAAATCCTGCCCCCCAAGAGCCCGAACGTGCAGTCAGAGCAAAACACAAGGCAAGAGATACGACCCTGCTGAAAAGCAACCGTTAAAATATCAAGATTAGTAACAGCTGGAAAACAGGGCTATTTCTCTCACTGAGGAACCTTTTCTTAGTCTGCTTGCTAATGACTAAGTCTCAACTTCTCTAGGAGATATTTCAAAACACAAAGTCTTTTCTACAGAAAAATTACTTAAGATCAATCAGAGCAAAAAATAACATATGCTGAAGAAAGAATGTAGCAAATCTCACTACTTTCCATATGCGCTCTTTGGGAAAGCAGAGAGGATACTGGTTCTGTTACACAAATATAGCGCTTTATCTGTGAAGGCAGCAGATTATTCATATCCTACACACAACCTACCAAAAACCTACAGCTTCTTCTGCCATCTCCAGTTCCCCACGATAAAAGACTTTATTCTGGCTTTACAAAAGCATTAGAAAAAGTTATTTCTGGGTCCTGCTACAGTGTTGGAGGTTGGTATGCTCTGGAGCGGGATGGTGCCTGTGCACCTTGTGAGAGGATGAGTCCTAAAAACACACGTAAAAATTAATCTGCTTCAGTGTAGCTCACTTCCCCATTCAGAGGACTCGTCCTCCATTTGAGCTGCTCAGCAGCATTCACTAAAATACTGAAAATCCGTGATTGCGAGGCATYGCTCTGGGCTGACTCAGCACGCCCAACATGGAAGAAGGAACAGACCCAGAAKCCATATTTTTTTCTAAATAAAAATGTAACAGTTAAAAAGAGCAAAATGCAACAGATTCACTTGTTTCAAGAGATTAAAATGGCAGACTTTTCAAAATGAGGCACCCATTTAATTATCGGMGAGACTGTTGAGCTTATTATAAATCTTCAGTGCAGAAAACAGTTGAAGTGATGGTGCAGGAAAAAAACAAAATAGGCTTAAGTAGGTCATAAAATCCAAAAGGAAACATAAACTGGTCCTTAACTGAAAGCAAAATTACTTGTTTTGAGACTTTTCCACTAAACATGTGGATGCATGATGCCAAGCAATGGCAATCCACTGCACTTGCAGGTACGAAACCAAAACATCCTGAAAGACTCTCCTGGAATTGCCCTTACCAGGAGGGACAGAGGTTGCAATTTCTCTGTAACTGCTGCTTTAMCGATGCTCTGCATGTTTGTTAATTGATGTTTCTATGTTCCAGAAAAGCTACTTGTCCCTTTAAATCTCTGACCATGTTTCCCCTGCTGAGGAAATGTACCAGGGTGTCCCACTGCTGTGAGGAGCCTGGGTGCTTATCTGGCAGCAGGAGGGAGACAGAGGTGGAGCAAGGAGGGGAACTCGGCCTCTTCCCAACTGCTCCCGTGTTAGATCTTCCTGCCAAGCCAAGCTTYAGGAGCAAGGGTTTGTCTTGCAGCAGAACAAAGCTTTCTCTGCAGTCTCACTTGYCTTCTGCCTCATTAGGTAGCTGCTTGTGGTACAAGTTTCTTTGGGAAAATAGTGTGTAACACAGGCAGAAATTATTCACAAAGGTCTTCCTGTAGACAAGCACCTTGCCCGCTGCTCTGGGACCACCGCGTGGAAGGAGAACCAGCCTATTCCTAGAACTGCAAATGCTAAACTCTGAACTAAGCCTGTGGGTACAGAGGGCAGATTTTCGATAACTTCATAACACAGGTCTGGCTGCTCATAGTAAACAAACACATGGCAAAGATGAAGCGCTGTGACTGTGCCCTATTTTAGAAACTGATTGTCAAAGCAGTTCAGCTCGCGTTCAGCGATTTCCACAAGCGGCACAGCACAAAATCCCTCTGTATCTGCTACTAATAACRTTCCTAACACACAGTTGTTAACATGAAGATGTTTACAGCATATATGTAATGCCATTAAATATGTTCTTGTGTTGATAATAACTGTTTATTTTTAATACAAGCTCTGCTATGGAAGTTTTGACAATAGAAGCCTTGAGCAAGCAGGGTTTAAAGCATTTACCTGTTAGGTAAATTTGATAAAGAACTTGTCATATTTGTTACCAATGCAATCAAGTTCAAAGATAAGCAATATTAAGTAACACAAAACATGAACAAGCTTGAAAATTAGAACAGACGTTTATACTAAAGCGATTTCCTTTATAACTTCGATAATGCACAAAACAGTTATGATATAGGAACTCTGGAAAATCTTATAAAAGAAATTATTTAYTATTGCTGTTAAAATTAATATCTGCAGAAACCAGAAAGCTAAAAGCAAGCCTAAACCTCTCGAGCATACATGCAAGTATTTGCATGCAGGGAACATTCAAATCCCATTACCTACCTCCACCTTCCACCTTTGGAAAGAAATATAAGCAGGTTAAAAAAAATAAAATCTTTCCCTTTACTTTTCAATTTGAAGGGCATCACCTCCTCCCAAAAAACACACCTGTAATCTTTACCTCCAAAAGGCTAAAAAGTCAAATTCAACAAAATTGGCTCTGTTAAAAGSGTCAAGCATGATTTTCTGTTGCAACTGACCTCACTACATGTGTAGGGGGAACAACTATATTTCCTTCCATATTTTGCACTTTACAAGATATTAACGCATATTTTATTCCCATAGGGCTGCCCCCAAAAGCAGGGAGACCCGTGCGGCACAAACACGTTGCAGTTTTTGCAGGCAGTTGGCCTTTACTGATCTGCCTGACACTTCTTACTAAAGTCAGGCAACACCCATCTTCCACGATCCACCCGGTCAGCAAGGAATTTCAGCCATCCAAGCAAGGAATGAAGTGAATTTAAATTTTTGCCCACAGCCTCTTGGTTGAAAGTTCTTTAAAATCAAATGCTACCTAAATATAAAACCAAAAAACATTCTCCTCCCCAAAAAAATGAAATGTAGTCTATTATTAATATTCTTCTCTCTYCAGGGTCATTGCCAGACATTTGACTCGACACCTGGTGGGCTTTCTAACTGCACTTGCCAGCATCACATGCGTCACAAGACCATGAAGTGTCACAGATTGAGTGGCAAACATTCAAGGCTACTGAAAAACCCAGCATTTGCACAGCCACCCAGTTACTTACATTGTTGTTGCGTGTTTCTACTGCTGGAAACTTCCTGACTATGAATTTGACAGCAGATTCCAGGTTTTTGTCAATAAGATAGGATGGTTTGGCTTTAGGGTCYCCGCATGCCTATAAAAAAATACAATGAAAATGAAGTAAAAACAAAACCATACATCCAAAGCTAAGCAATGTTTGCAAATCTGAAGACAAACTAGAAAGATTCTTTTCTGTTTATAGTGAGCACGTGATAAAAATGAGTAAGCAAAGTGCAGGGACTGTCACAGCTGAGATATGCAATGGGAGACAGTACAGAGATGCTCTTCTACTGAAAAAGATGCATGGAAGTATCAAAGCAGTTAGTGCAGAACAGCAGTGGGGAAGGGGACTCAATCCTAAAAGAAAAACAAAATAAAACAACAAAAACAACCACAGCACAAAAAGCGGTTTTCTTTTTACTGCTCTTCCTGGTTTGAGGTAGGGTGGTAATTCATCGGCAGTCGATAAACTGTTAGAAAATTCAATCATTTCATCTGTAGAGGACAGTACTGGGCACATTAAGGGATTCAGCTATCTTTTGTGACAAAAAGTTAAAAATCCTACCTGCGTGTATCTGTTTTTAAGCTTTCGTTAAAGTGTTAACTGCAAGACAGCTTTCCATTCCACTGCCAGTACTTGACTCAAGTGCCACCTTCCCTTAAATGAGGATCATATTCAAATCCACTCCACATTTACTCATTTCCTTTCCTCCTCCAGCAGGACAAGCTGTGCTTTAAAGCAGCTTCCAAGAAGTGTCACCACATTTTCATTCCAACAAAAGCGTCAAGTTTTAGTCTTTAAAGTCACTTGAGAGCAACAGGTTCTGTGGACGAACCGAAGAAGCCTCCCCTTTGGTGAACTCAAGTGCACACTGTGCGACACAAACTACTACTTCCCATCTCTGGGAACGAGCCACGTGAGAGGGCTTAGCTGTGAGAAACATAATTAAAGCAGTGCTATTTACACGTCAGAATTTGTGCTCAAATTGTACTTTCTTTCAAAGACCTGTTGAGCTTTAAGGCCCTCATTTGAAAAGACGTTTTGTTTCTCATGCAAAACTAAGTTACATGCGACGTGTTTTCCTACRCAACACAGTAAACTGCAATGACAGCTCATTTCAACTTCTCCACATTGATTTCTATGACCGAGTTGTAGATTGCAGAGACAGAAGTCATGGAACATGAGGCTGATTCTGAAAGCGGGCAAGCGGGCAAAGGGAAGGTGAAAAGCTTTGCAAACCTTCCAAACTTGTCCTTGCTGGGAAAGCATTGTAATAAAAAGAGAGAAAAATTACATATAAACAATAGACTCTTAAATTCTAAAATTCGTTACATTTAAGTGAACTAATATACTATTATCTACACATCCAAGAAAAGACGATGACCATCTATTGCTATACAGAGCACGCTCTCTACTTGATAGTCATTATTCTAATACTGAAGCAATTGGACATTTTGCATTAGACTTTTACTGCTGTGCAAGGCTSTGAGCATACGTTGCAACATGTCACTTCTTACAGTATTTCCAAACTGAGGTCAGGCAGGGAGAGAAAAGGAGTTAACAACAACAACCACATGCATCTACAGGGGGGAAAAGAAGAAGGAGGAACACTCAGTGCAGTTTTACATACCTGAAAAAGAAACGGTAGCCAAGAAAGAGCAAAACAAAACAGAACAGTCATTATTGCAAGTTTCCCCAAGTCCTGCCAGCAGCTCAGCCGCGACCATCGCGGCACATCCTGACGTACCACTCTCACGCCCAAACTCTAAACTCTGCTCTATTTTCCCCCACAACAAATGCTAATTTTTATTAAAATACCATATCTAAAACACTTTCGAGGAATTTATAATCAAAACAAGTCAGCAGCATCGGCACCGCCCATGAGAATTCGCTTTGATGCCCTTGTAACAAAAGCCCAGGCCACAGAAGGTCTGTTCTATACACACTTCAAAGCCTCTGCACGGTTTCAAAAGTAAAAATAACACAGTAAACAGTTATTTGAAAAAATAATGAATTCATGTTTCATTTTGACATTTTTTTAATTAAATACAAATCATGAGCTTGTCAGAACTCAGATGGTTTTGTTCTCTTTACCATACAGTACACAGATTTCTCCACTCAAAGAAGGACCACAAACTACAAAAAGAGCCYGACAGACAACGTGCATTTTCGATCCACTCAGTTCCAGTATGGTCGCTCTYGTACGGGACAGGAGACTCTCAATTTGCCACCACTGACTTCTTCAGTCTGTCAGCCTGAATTCAAACACTACTGCCGCATACTCTTATTTTTTGAAACAAATACTTATCCTCCTATAAAGCAGCTCTGTCAGAAGCTTTCTACACTTAAAATTATGTTCTGCCCAAGCTCTTTTAGGCAGCTTTTTTTCTTGCTGAAACAGACAGCCAAGAACAAACARTTACATGGTTCTCACAGGGAGCTAATTCCAATTTATAATAAATACCATCCATACATATCCACCTAAGTGGGCTGCAACAACCTTCTTAAAAAAAGAAATATGACTATGGATTTCTGAACTATGAATAAATAAGATGAAGAAATAAAGACGTCCCTACAAGTGTGACATTGCTGGAATAGCCCCGTGCACCAGGGGAATCCAGCTGCTCGGGCCCTGAATGGTCCCTGTGAAGGCACCTCTCCGCGGCAGGGCAGACAACGCAGAGCTCCCACTGTCAAAACCAAGATTTAATTTTCTTTTGGAAAAAAAGAAACCCAAAAACCAAAACCACGGACTATATATAAACTGCATTTTTATTGTTACAAAGCATTTCTTTCCACAGCAGTTCAGAATGGGAAGCGCTCAACTGAAATTAAATATATTCTTCTTGATCTGACACACTCCAGCCAACTCTAGCAAGTGCAAAGTGATTTCTATAGCTAAGAAATTACTCATTCAAAATTTCTATTTTCTTTCAGACCATAGGATTTATGTAAACAAGTAAGGAATAATTTACTAAGAAAAATATTGCTTTGATTTAAAATGCATGTCAGTCTTTTCAAGAAATATTTTTATTCTTCCTCGAGGCTCCAGTATGTTGGATGAGACTGTAAAACATCCATCAGCAGAATTACTGTGCCTATTCAGTCAATGGGACTGAACAAGAGAGTTGATGTCCAGCTGCCATCGCTGCTGAGAGCCAGYAGGACCAGCAGCCAGCACACAGTGTATACAGGGTCCAAACTTCCAACCAGAAACCTTAACTGCACCCTGGCCTTTTGCACGGGCTGCTGCCTGTCCCTGAGCTTCCCGGCCCTTCTTCCCGGGCTGAGCCCAGCCTGCACCGAACGACTGGCAGTAACTGTTGCCCAAGCAGAGCAAATGCCCACAGAAAGMTTTCATTTACAGCAATATTCTCGTATTTTTATCCCCCCCAAACTTTCTGCATCTCCAAACAATCCCRAAGTAGATGAGGCATTTAACATAGTTTTATTACTTTAAGCAAACTTTACTATGACTGTGGACTGGAGATAAAACACTCCAGTGATTTAGCGGAGCACTTCGGGGGTTAGTGAGCAAAATCCCGTCACGCTGTGACTGTGCATGGTGAAATCATCTTCGTTCATGAATTCCCTCATCTTCTCAAATTCCATTTATGAAAGAATTTGCACCAAGAATCCAAGAATAGCATGAATGTAACTAGCAAACAGACAGAACTTCAATGAAAGCCATGGATTTGTTTTGAGACAGTCATTTTAAGCAAAGAGAAATACAACAACAACAAAAAAATCTACCGTTTAAACCCCCACACTCCTGTACCTTTACTGTTCACTACAGCAGATTCTCTTGACACACAAGGGCATGCACAGCAGAAATGCTCTTCTTTTATAACAGTTGTTTATAAAAACTTTATCCTAAAATGCATCCATAACCAATCTGAATGCCTGGATGAGGTTGAGCAGCCAATAAATTAAACCAAGTAATACATAGCAAAGAATCATGCACATGACAGGTTCATGATTAACTCTAGATTTCTGGAGCAAAGCATTTTATTTACCCTTCATTTCTGTCATGCATTTCATAGTAATGAGAATAGTATTATATAGAACTATTGAAATTAATATCAAATAGTGCCAAGTGGCAATATCTGATTTTGAAGGAGGCAAAAGCATCGAGAAGGTCAGAGAGGCGCATAAAGCAAGAGCTGCTCCAAAAGGGAAACGCATAAGGAAGCCCTTTTGCACGTGGTGCTTATCTCAGCGTCTCTGGTGAGACCTGCCAGGTACGATAAAACCTCTAACATTCTTGCTGTATTTTAGGTCAGGTGGAAGCCTCAGTTTATTAATAACAGGCTTGTCCCAGAAAAGCTTTATGAATGAAGCCTTGTCCTTCTAACAGCTCCGGCAAGCTGCTGCAAGCAGCCGCCTACCACACACGGGCAAATTATTACAGTTCAATATTGGTGAGGGCTTAAACCTAACAGCTCTCCCAACCAGATTCAACTACTACAAGGCCTTACTTAGAACAACTAAGTTACTATAACAGTGCCTGCAATTCCATTTTTGGGTGCTTTTACAGAAAGTAGACCCATTGCATATTTTTGTATCTAAACTATGCTAATAGTTTAATTACAACTATATTGTTCTTATGGTCTGACAGTGACCATGCTGTAATACAGATTGAAGGTCTCTAGTTAATTAATTTCTGGACAATCTTTATGGGGGTTTGGACTTATGAAAATAAGACTCAAACCTGCTATCAATTTCACCACTTCAAGTATAAAGTTTCACGTGTTTGAAAGATGCACTTTCATGTTAATTCGATTTTCAATTTTTCAAATTTCATTTTAATTGAACATCAAAAGTGCTAAAAACACGCCCAATATTTCCTAGACTTAAGCATGAGGTCTCCCTCTCCTCATTTGTTCACCAGAATATCCAAAGTCCAAAGTATATATTTTATTTTAATTCCTAGGGTATCTCTACCTGAATAACCAAGACATTAAAATGTAAACATATGAAATTAGAAGAAACAAGGCTAGAAAGGACCTTAAGAAACTATTTTCCAACTATCTTTTGCAGACTTGGTATCTCTTTACTCCTAATCCCGTACTTCACATGCTAAAAAAGCACAAAGTACAGTCATACTTGCTCAGCTAGCTCCAATTTTTTTTAGGACACATCTCCAATTTGCTAAGCTCAGAATTAATTCTGTGTTCTTCAACATCCCTGCAGCTCCTCCCAGACAGGATCCTCTGCAGCTACGGATCTAGTCAAGCCCCGGCATTCGCCATCYGCAATGCCAGGGCAAAGACTGAAAGGAACCAGAGCAAAGGACACTCCAACGAGACCCTGTCTCACAGCAGGATCTGGGAAACCATTCCCTAATATGGTTACTCATCTGCTTTCATTCTTCTGATTTCCCCTAAACCATATTTCCTTGGATTGTTCAAGTAAACAATTGGGTGAGGTCACGTCAGAAAGGGCCAGGTTTAAAAGGACCTGCTAAGTTATGTATGTTAGTGAGCGACCTCGACAAAAAGAAATGTGCTTGATTTGACGCTATTCAACACTATGTGTCAAGTCTCTGTGTAGTAAACTCATAGTGTCCATTTGTGTCTGTAGCACCTGCTTGAACAACTGCTTGGTTCCACTAATTAAATATAGGGTAGCTGAAATCCAAAGAAAAACAGAGAGAAGGGGAAAACCATACATTCCCCATATTTGTAAGCAATGCAAGATTGTAGGTGTCTCTACCTGATGCAGAAGAGTGAGTCCATCTGGATTTTTATATATATATATATATATATATATATATACATATATATATATATTTGAACAGATATCACTGGATTTAAAAAAATGTATTACCTTGATTCCGTAGTGAAATAGTAAGACTTTCTATCTTAACGTTTTTAAGGAACTACTAGCACTTATCAGTCAGTAAAAACAACATTGTCCCACCCTAGGGCGCTTCCTGATGATCTGACAACAGGATTTGTGGCTCCCACTACCAACCCTACAACTCCAGAGAGATGAGCTGTGAGCTTCCCCTCTAAGGTCACAAGTCTGTGCTCCAACACCGAGACCAGAGTCAGAAGGATGATCCCATATTACTCCCTTCCAAAACTTTCCCTGGCAATGAGAAATTTCGTCGTGTTCTGCCAGTCACGTGAAGCCTCCTGGGGCTCCTCCTGCCGCAGCCCTGACCACCTGCTTCACGGCACCTAAAAGGGGAACTTYGGGTCAGGGTCCCCAGCAACGTTCAGACTTTGGGAAATCCCTTCCTGCCCAGTTCTTGACCCTTTCAGATTACTTTTCTTTGTACTAATCCAGCGTAAAAGGATGGAAAGGGCAGGGTTCCCTTTCTATTCCATTTTAGCTAATCTGGTCGAGTTCAGCAATGAGAACTCGACACAGCTCTCCCGATGCGTTTGCTGCTGCTCCTTCAGCAAGCACACGCACTTGCAACTGCTGCAGAAGAGGAAATAAATACAACAAGCGCTCATTACACAGGCAGGATCCTCAATACAGGTAAAAAGCCAGTGCTCTCATTTACACTTTGGATGTGCAGAACACTATCTGGCAATTAATCACCCGATAAATGATTTTAAATCATGACTTCATATCAAATTTGCAATGGCTTCAAATATTTTTGTTCTTTGTTCTTTACCTAGAATTTCAGTTCAGATACACAAATCACATCTAATCCAGTTTATTAAGATTCCTTTATTTCAGCTATGTGACCCTTAGAGTTGTAAGCATCAGGAARACGTTACTTTTACTCTTTAACAGCCCTGCTGACAGTAACACTGCTCCAACACTCAGCAAAATTACGCTTTCCAGATCTGCCACCTCTAGACTCCAAGTACTTCAATGGGGAATCTCACTTCCTGGTTTCCAAAGGCTCTATAAGCCACAAGAAAATGCCCACAGAAAAGATGACTTCTTTGCCACCATTTGTAAACATTTATTGGTATTTCTTTGATAGTACTACCAGGTTTAAGCAGAGCCTACACAGTTGCATATTCTTCAATAATAATAATTATTAATAACATAGTAATGAATACAAAATAATAAATAAATCATTACTAAACACATTAATTTTTACAACTCTCCATGCAGGTCAATGCTAATCCTAAATGTTAATTTTGCCTTGCACGAGCAATTAACAGCTATAAGCTCAACAACAGCAAAGCTGAAATTTACATGGGATGATCAAGTACAAATGTCAGGTTTCCAATTGCTTTACACAACTTCTATAATTCCTTAGGCAGTATGCAGTGCTCATATAGCACCTTCAACGGGTAAGAAAATTTCCAATCCTTTAAAAATCTCTACTTCCTAGAAAGTAAATCTGCAGAAATCTGTAACACAGTTATACATACTTCACCTTTCACTTCCTCTTTAAAAAAAATAATGTAACCATTTCCCTTAACCGCAATACCACAATACCACATCTGGTTGTCTCTGGTATTGTGAGTTTCGGTTATTGTTGTCCACTGAAAGCTGTGGAGAAGCAAGCTGGGAACTGGACAGCAGGTTCGGAACCAACTGGGGGGCAAAGGCGCAGAGGGGGAGCGAAAAGAGAAAGTGCCCCTAGAAGGCGACGGAGCAGAAGCCGCTCCGAGGCCTTTCCGAACGGGGCTCTACGGCCAGAAACAGGAAGGCAGGCACAAGGGTTCTGGGGCTCTCCATTCAACCTAGGGACACAGCTGGGCAGTGTTTACCCAGCTTAAGAACCTCTGCAGGGGTCTCTGGGCTGCTCGGCGGTGGCTCCTGCGTCCCCCGCGCTGGTGGCACCGGGGGCAGCGCTGGCACAAGCTGCCGCGTGGACGGGGGGCTGAGGATGCTGCCAATGCAAGTGACCCCCTGAACGTCAGGGACGTCCCCTGCCGGGATGCCCTGATTCCAATCAGGACATGCTCCACACCTGAGACTTTCAAGGCACAGTTTGTCAAGCAAGGGCGCCTAATTCCCGAGTCTCTCCCACCTCCCGCATCTCCCTCTGCCAAGCCCACAGTTTTGATGACAGAGGATCGAGCTTGGGCACGATTAAACCACACTCTTGTGCRGCTCATATCTCTCTCCAAGACCATAACAACTGCATCTACAAGCRGCTTTCTCACAGTTTTGAAGTCATTTTCCCTATAAATAAAGAATTTCCCTTTTGCTTTAAAAGTCTGTTTATATTGCTGTAGTTATTACACTGAGAAAGTTTCCCACACGCAGAACTGCCAGCTAAAGGAGCCTGATGTCCGTCTCTGAGGGCAGCTCCCTGCACTGCTCCGGATCCATACCGGCTGCCGCAGTCGCTTCCGAGCGCCACAGCCATTTCCCTCCCGGGAGCCRGCGGCACCCCAGGAGAGATGGACGGAGCCCCTGGCTGCCCCCAGTCCCTGCTCCTCTCTAGGCGCGAGCCTCAACTCGACACCAGGCACCCGCTGCCCCGCTCTGTTCCGGGAGCCGCTTGCCCAGACGCGGGGCCAGACCCCGGCCTGCCGCCCGTGGGGCCGCGGCGGCTCCGGAGCGCGGCCGAGCGCGGGGCCG